GAACCACTGTTCGGATGCGCGCTACCGAGGGGCCGTAGATTAATCTGGGGAAAAGGGCTGGCGAGGACCGCACCCTCGCATGCGTGCGTGCGTGCGGTGCGGAGAATTTGGCTGTTGAGGAGGAGGAGAAGATGTGGAGGGGCGGCGTTGGAAAGCTTGTTGGGGGATAAAATCAACGCTGGGTGAAATCGATGGGGTGGTGGTTGTGCTCGAGGGAGATCGGATGAAATGTTTTTTGCCATCGTTGCTTTTTTCTGAATAAGTGCACCTTGCAGGGTATGTAGGTATTTACTTTAGCTACAGCTCTACTCTATGTACCTACTCTACTCTATTATACTCTACTATCCTGTTCTAGCACTCTGCTCCACTCCACTCTGCGCTGCGCTACTGACCGTGGCGTGTGTAATAGTAACGGTCTCGTCCGATGTCTTGTCCGATTGCCTAGGACCACACTGGTCCGTGCCCAGGAACTGGTGACTGACTGACTGGCTGACTGCCATGGGGAACCCCAACTGCCATGCTCCAGGATATAAGTATAACAATCTTATTTATCACACACATACATACATACATACATACATTTGTATCGCGTCGTTCATCCCCATTATTATCCCCATACGGGTGAAAGGAGAACGCCACGAACGCGGCGGTTCAGGTACACCCTGTCGCAAGGGACATCGGAGCGGGATCCGGGGGGAAACAAACAAAATCGCCCCCCGCCATCATTATTATCCGAGCCCGAGAGGAGAGGGTGAAGCTGGTGAGCTCCGTGCGGACTATTGCAGAGTAGAGTGAATAGTATACGTATACGCAGCAAGTCTAACCTAGGCACTACATACCTCCCATACCATAATTCTCTCGGCATCATTAATCGCGAACAACTCTAATCAAACTACCTAGTACCATGAGCACAACGAGCTCTGCCCCCCGCCCCCCCCCCCATTCACAAGCTGAAAGGACTTCAGTATAAGTACCTCCTGATCTGCCCCCCTCTTCCCCGGGGAAATTGTTCCGGTTCTTCATCAGATCAGTCCAACATCAAAGCGGACCTGTCCTTCCTCTCCTTTGAATTCGCACATCTGCCTGTCTCCACGGTCGTCCTCTCACCATGCTCACAAACATCCTCGTCCTCGCGGTGCTCCTGCCCGCGGCGGCCCTCGCCCAAGTTGTGGGCAGCGCTACCGGTTTCGCAAAGGGCGTGACGGGAGGTGGAACTGCTACCCCCGTCTACCCAACCACCATTGCGGAGCTCAAGAGCTACTTGACCGACTCCTCTGCGCGTGTCATCATGCTGAACAGGGAGTTCAACTTTATTGGCTCTGAGGGAACGGTTACTGAGAGTGGTATGTGCACATATATATCCCGTCGGGGAAGCAGGAAGAGGAACTTAATATATATACAGAAGGCGCTGGCTAACCATTTATTGTATGTAACCAGGCTGCCGTCCATCCAGTAACACCTGCCCCAACGCCGGTGGCCAGGACGCCATCAATGGCGCGAATTGGTGCACTAGTGGTGGGTACCCGACTGTCTCGGTCACCTACGATGTGGCCGGTACCGGGTACATTGATGTCAAGAGCAACAAGTACGGGATCTCCTCTCTTCCCCGTACCCGGTAAATGATACTGACATCCTACAGGTCCATTGTCGGAGTCGGTAGTGCCGGTGTCATCCGTGGAAAGGGTCTCAGAATCGCCAACGGCGTGACCAACGTCATTATCCAGAACGTCCACATCACCGTATGCTACTCCCACATATGCAATTGAAAAAAAAGCGACCGGAACTGACATTGACCTTTGCAGGAACTCAACCCCCAATACATCTGGGGAGGTGACGCCATCACCCTCGCCGGCAGCGACATGGTCTGGATTGACCACTGCAAGTTCTCGCTCATTGGGCGCCAAATGATCGTGACCGGGTACTCCGCCGCCGGCCGCGTCACAATCTCAAACAACGAGTTCAACGGTGTCACCAGCTGGTCCGCCACCTGCAACGGCGACCACTACTGGACCATGCTCTTCCTCGGCTCCAGCGATCTCATCACCCTCGTCGGAAACTCCATCCACGACTGCTCTGGACGTGCCCCTAAGGTTCGTTGATCATTACCCCCCTTCCATCATAGGATATCACTCGTGCTAACACACCCCTCAGGTCGGAGGTGCCGACACCGCAAACGTTGTTCTCCACGCCGTCAACAACTACTTCGCCTACATCGGTACTTACCCCCCTTCCCCTCTTCCCCCACTCTAGCTGAATACTAACACACCCCAGGCGGCCACGCATTTGACGTCGCTACCGGCGGTAACGTCCTCATTGAGGGTAACGCTTTCGTCTCCGTCACCACCCCCATCACGTCCGCATCCTCCTCCGCCGGTGGCCAGATCTTCAATGTCCCCTCAAGCTCGTACACCTCTACTTGCTCGACATACCTCGGCCGCAGCTGTGTCGTCAATAGCGTCAGCAGCTCAGGAACTTTCTCGAGCTACACCACCACTGGGTTCTTGGCGAACTTTTCGGGCAAGAACATCCAGGCAGCGACCGCGGCGAGCGTGGTTGTCGCGAACGTTAATGCAAACGCGGGTGTTGGGAAGATTGGAAACTAAAATTGTCAAGTAGAAGCGGGGAGGGGGGGGGGGAGTAGATAGTAATTGAAGACCTTTTTTGCAGTTAATTATTGATTGTGTATTGTGGATTGGGTTGTGGTGTGAGATGTGTTTGTGTAGTTTGGCGGGGTGTAGACAAAGAAGCATTTAATTGTAGGGGTATAATGCGTGACATCGCCGGCCCATTTTACCCTTACCGCTGTGTGGTGCTCTCTTCTCTCAGGCCACAATCAAGACTGTAGAGACGGATACAGGCGAGGATAGTTTACTAGAAATCTAGGAGTCTAGCTAGTTCTAGTCCGCTAGCCCCACAACGGTGCTTCCGTCACGTAATATCACTCGAAACCTAACCCGCATTAGCCCCAACTAAAGCCATAACATCAAAATTTATGATTTCATCTGTGTCACCGTAAATTCTAATAGCACAACTGTATCGTTCTTAAGCGCCTCTACTAATATATACGTGAAATACTAACCAGCACACTTCTGACCTATGTGTCTTAGGATCTGGTAGGACCTGCGTGCAGCAATCGGGAAAAGTTACATAAACTTACATTTAGCACTTCTCCGGCACTCGGACCAGAGACTACGAACCTCTTTAAGGGCATATATACTAACACTGCCACCTCCTTTCCTCAAGAGATATCTCGAGCCCGGCCTTGATTCCTCTAGCTCCCGACGAGCAGAGACTCTTATTTGATGGCTGCTGTTGTGGTTTCGGCTGGCTTTGTTTATCATTGACATACATCCCCGGCTGCAAAAACATCTAGCTGACTTAAGTTAGTTTGAAATCAGTGTCGGTTCGTGGATGTTCTCTGGGGTTTCTGGGGGGCGTGATCGAGAGGAGGATGGTCATGGATGATGCTTTGCATACCGACACCGGTAATGATGTATCCGTCTATCCCCTATATAGCACCATAACTCATAGTATGCGTGGCTGTATAACCCCCTCATCCAGCTGAGCCAGCAGAGATAATTTCTGGCTCTGCGCAAAAAGTCTATATATATCGAAGTAAATAGAAAGAAAAAAGCGAGTAAATCTTCGGGCAATCATGCACAAGCACTCGGGCCGGTCAGTAGCCCGGTGATGTTGGTCTAAATATGCCGTGAAGTGTCTTTGTTCTGCCGCGGCCCTGCTAGTGAGTTTTGGCTTTTGCAGTTTCGTTCCTGGACTGTCCTTTCCCGGGGGTTCCTCTCCTGTGATTGTCAATATTGACCAACCCGGAGGTGCGGGGTGCATCTCGACACAAACTACCCAACGCTCGGCAGCTTCGCGCGCAATTTATAACCCCGGACAATGCTCGCAGAGAGTCTCTATGGGCAGAGAAGTACGTTTTTAGACCCCATAGATTCCGAGTTTTCTGTGCCGTTTGTTGCTTGTCGTGTCAATCAATGTAGTCGCTGGGATCCGATCTTAGTGCACTTGAGTTGTGGTCCTGGATCTATGCATGGGGGCGGTTCGGCCCGGGTGATATTTTATGACCCAGACGATCATTTCGTTAGAGCGGCGAAAGTCAAACAGGACCCGTTTTTATCTTTGGTGATAAGGAAATTGTAGGTACAGTCGTTCACCGTCTCTTGACGAATACTGCCACTTGACGAACAGGGGTTCCAAGTATGGGAAGAAATGGTCAAGCAACAGCCAAGCTGCGAGATCTCCAGTTCTTTTAATTTCTATTGGCTCAAAGTTCCCTGTTCAACTGGCAGTATTCGTCAAGAGACGGTGAACGACTGTAATTGAGAAGTATATAACCGTCTATTACAGAATCAACTCATACGTAGCTCAATATCATGAGGTGTCATTGTGAATGGTGTAGCAGATGCGAGAGATACGAACATGGGCGCCAAGAGGCTGACTTGGCACAAGAAGTTGCAAAGTGGCTTTGATAACTGCGCCGCTGGGGCAGAACGTTTGCATGTGGTGTTACATCAAAGTTTGAGCAGGTACATATATGTATGTAGGTAAGTTTTCAGCTTGGAGTTTTTGAGAGGCCAACCGCATGAGCGAATTTGGTGTAAGCTTTGCAGCAGCGGCGGGCGGTTGACAACCGCCGGGATTGTTACATGCCAACGGCCACCCCACTTACATCTATCATGTCGAGAAACAATCCATTTTCTTCCATATCTATATATACCGTGGCTGTGCAATTTTAGACAATTCATCCTAGGCCGTGTATATAAGATTATGGGTATTTTGTAATACCATACTCTAATGCGAGTGCAGATCTAGAGCTCGAGGGAGCCTGCAAAGTCAGCAGTCACATAACTACTGGTGAAATTATCAGGAGGGCTGAGCAGAAGAGACTACATATATTTCCCCTCCTTATATATTACCCCTCTCGCGCCACAAGTGCAAACATCTACTTACGAATAGGCGGATCACACATACGCATATACATGGCTGAAGCACTCGGCATCGCCAGCTCTATCGTCGGAATAGTTGCCCTGGCAGATGTAGTTGCCTCAAAGAGAATACGTCTCTACACTACGATCAAAGATTGCCCGAAAGAGATCAAGATACTTGTGGACGAAGTTGGTGGCCTTTGTGGGTTACTGGGTACACTCAAGCGCCGGTATGGCGCACTTATGGGTTCACAGAGCGTTACAGGGTTCAGCGTTCACTCCGAATCTCTCTTACAAGGCTGTGAGGAGACACTAGATATGATGGACCGTATCCTTATAAAGTCGAAAGCAAGGACAGGGGAGACTTGGGCGAATATGGTAAAAAGGGTAAAGTGGAAATACAGGAAGGATGATGTACTTGAGCTCTTGGAAAGAGTGGAGAGACATAAGAGTAGCTTTCAACTGGCCCTCTCACTGAATAGGGTGTGTGTACCTCATTTTATACAAGTCCATGTGTGGGTTAATCATAGCTGATATCGCTGTTTTCCAAGGGAAACCCTTCAGGAGCTACTCGCTGGAAATAGTAATATTTCTCAGCACATATTGGAGAGCAAGGGCGAGACAATCCAAGAGATCGAAAGATCAAAAAGAGAGCTCCTATCTGAGTTGAAACAAATGGATAATCGCCAGGCAGGTACTCGGATAAGCAATGAGCAGAAAGAAAAAGGTATGTTTTCTGCCCTTTGCCACCATGTAGTCATGTAAGCCGGCTGGTGTTATACTTTCAAAAGGTTTTGTTGATCTTTCTAGATAAACGCCGCCTCGAAGTGCTAAGTTGGCTATCGCCGGTCGGTTTCAGGGGAAAACACAGCGAAGTCAAGCGACATAGGTGTGAGGACACGGGAAATTGGTTCTTGAAAAGTTCCGAATTTGTTGATTGATTGGGGAAGCCAGCCCCTGCGAGTCTGTTGTGTAAAGGCACTCGTATGTAGACCCAAATACAATAGTTATCCCCATCCTGGCTCCTTCGCTTCTCGGGCTATGGTCCTCTAGCGAGATGTTAAAGAGATGCTAACAGTGGGGAATGATAGCTGGTGTGGGGAAAACCTTTATAACGTATGTGATTTTTTGTAATGGAATGCCGAAAACAGAGCTCACCTTCTACGTACTCTTAGATCGAAGATACTGGACCATCTAGAATCACTTTTCCCAGATGTATATGGGGATGTCGCCATTGCCTATGTTTACTGCGAGTTCAAACAGCGTGTCACCCAGACCCCGGAATTGATATTTGCTTCCATTATTCAGCAATTGGCGTATCATCAGCCAAATCTGGATCCTGAGATAGATATTCTATACAAGGATAGGAATTCTCCACGCCCTCCCTTAGAAATGTTAATTTCAGCAATTCTGTCTATATCGCGAAATTTCAACGCCGTATATATAGTTTTTGACGCCTTGGACGAGTGCGACGAGAAGAATCAGAGGAAGGATATTCTCGCGTATCTACAGGGATTTTCACGGGCACCCTTCAAAATCCTCGCTACAAGTCGGCCTCACCCTTTAGATATTACCGCTGCTTTTAAGGATGCGGCCAAGGCAACTATTCGTGCACATGATGACGATATTGAATGTTACGTGAGGCAAAGAATAAAGCAAGAGATATCGACTGGGATCACGATTAAGCGGGAATTAGCTGAAATTATAGTCAGGCAAATTACTTCTAAAGCAGAAGGAATGTGAGTAAAATAAGAACCGTTCATGTTATGCATTTTCTTACGGAATAGATTTCTGCTTGCCAAGTTTCATATTGGGTATATTCTCAGCAAATTAACAGCAAGAGATAAGCGGAAGGCTGCTATAAGTCTTACTTCAGACCTTACAGCCGTCTACGGAGCAATTATGGCCACTATCGAAGAAAAACAGGAATCCCGCAAGCTTTCACTTAAGATATTAAAGTGGATTAGTGCTGCAACACGACAACTTCAGTTTCAGGGACTACAGACAGCGATCTCAATAGAGGATGGCGATGCTGAGATAGACGAGGAGGGTTTTCTGGATGCAAAGACTATGGTAGATCTTTGTGGGGGATTAATCGCTATTGAACAGGAGACCGGTGCAGTCCGCTTTGTCCATCATACGGTCCAAGAATATGTTCTTTCCAATTCTAGCATTTCCAGCGATGCCCATTTACTCATCGCCAAAACATGTCTCACATACCTGTCATTGGAGACCCGTCATCGAAAACTATGTGATCGAACACTGGCTAGAATCAAGGGATGGAGCTCCATAGATGAGCGATATTTTTGGGATTATGCAGCCTGTAACTGGGCGTTTCATATGCGAACCATAGGTGAACCTAAAGATCTTTCTATAAGAGTACTGGCAATGTTCGGGTCTCCAGATTTACTCTATGCATTAGCACGAACCATATGGTGGTATTCTTGGGATGCTGATTGGCTGGAGAAGGATTATCAGAGCCTCCCCCTACATATTTTTGCTGTTTCGGGCTTGAATCGTCTAGTCCAGTTGACACTCAAAGATTATAGTCTGAGTGTCGACTTTAGAGATTTTCGTGATGGGATATTGCCACCATCAAGAGCGGATTTTAAAGATACATTCGGCCAGACCCCGCTAGCATTGGCATCTAAGGAAGGGCATGAGGAAGTGGTTCATTATCTAGCCGGGCGGGAAGATGTCAATCCGGACTCAAAAGACGGATATGACTAGACACCATTAGCATTAGCGGCTAAGAATGGACATGAGGCAGTGGTTCGTTTCCTGGCCGAGCGTATAGGCGTTGAAGCGGACTCCAAAGATAGATTTGACCGGACACCTCTATCATTGGCAGCTGAGAGAGGCCACGAAGCAGTGGTTCAATTCCTAGCCGAACGGACAGACGTTGATGCGGATTCGAGAGATATTTATGGACAAACGCCGCTGTCATTGGCGGCTCAGAATGGACACGAGGCAGTGGTCCGTTTTTTTGGCCGATCAAGTAGATATCGATGCAGACTCTGGAGGTATACATGGACAGACACCACTATCCTTAGCAGCTGAGAGAGGGCAAGAGTTAGTGGTCCGCTATCTGGCCGACCGAACAGACGTTGACGCGGACTCGAAAGATGATGGCCAGACACCGCTATCATGGGCCGCTATGAATGGACATGAAGTAGTGGTTCATCTTCTGGCCAACCGGGCAGACGTTGATGCGGACTGGAAAGATTGGTATGGCCACACACCACTATCGTGGGCGGCAGGGAATGGGCACGAGGCAGTGGTCAGTTTTCTGGCAGAGCGGGCAGACACCGTAGCGGACTCGACAGACAACACTGGTTGGACGCCGCTTTTGTTTGCAGCTGCACAAAGACATATGACTGTTGTTCGTTTCCTGGTGGAGCGAGCAGACGTCAATGTAGACTCGAAGGATAAATGTGGCAAGACACCGCTGTCCTCGGCGGCTGAGACTGGGCATGAGGCGGTAGTCCGTTTCCTCACTGACTGGACAGATGTCGATGCGGACTTAGAAGATCATACGAGTAAGAAACTATTACCATTTTAAATCATCTAGCTTTCCATACCCAAATAGTATACACTATGGCCCTTGAAGAATTAAACTTTGTTTTGTGCTATAATGTATCTTGCTGGAGATTTGAGATCTTGACGTCCTGTTCCTTGGGACGTCGGTAGAGTCAAGCTTGACTGCTGTATGTTAAATAGAGGTGTTAGAAGGTAAAGGAGCGTTAAGTGCTAATTGGTGTGAGACAATACAAGACCTGATATCCTCAAAATTTGTTTCGTCCTGATTATAACGTTAAAATATCAATCACAGTCTCCAGGTCCATATCATCATTGTCATGTCTTGATTTTCATAATATCAGTTATATACAAAAATATCCATATTCCATTGTTGGGTGCCTTGGCTTCCCAAGGTCTCCAAATTCGTGCAAAGATATTAGACCCTGACATCCTGCTAGATGTATGTCTTTGAATGAAATGTACCGTATGTACATGCTCCCAAGACTGGTTTTATGATTGTATATATTGAGTGGCTGCATGCAGCTACTCTCGCCTTATACTTGATAATTGGGTTCAATGCCTCTGGTGATCCGAGATAAAGTCCCGGGTTTTATTGTAATTGAGTAAAGCCTGGTCGCTAACCCATCACCGGCAATTGAATTTATTAATTTACAGTATCGCCCAGTCACTCTATGCCTATGTCTTGTAGGAGCATCGATATGGTTAACGTTCACTAGACCGACAGATTCCGGCACATTCCCATAAACTGACATCTAGGCTCGGAAACCATACCTTAACACTGCACCTACTAACCTTCCGAGTGATATCGTATGAAGGGTTACAAATCCTCTATGTGCTTTTATGTAGCCTACCACTCCAACTTATGTATTGAATTAGGAGACCCCCGATCAACGATCAAGTAGACCTAGAAGCATGATACGGCAAATAAATCTTGAGCGTAATTTCGCCTCCAAACTCCCATATTAGAGAACTCCTTCCAGTGAAAAAATGTACTTATGTAAATATTCATAGGGAGGGCAATCTTTCTTATAGCTTTGGGGTTAGTGGGAGTTGGCGGACTATGAAGCATTACTCTTATAAAGAATTTGTACTTATAGTATACATTTTACGTGTTAATTTCCAGCCAGGAGATGGAATTAACAAATCGAGAACAACACCGTAGGACTCAGATTCATAGATTTCCACTTTCCTAGCTTTTGATTATTCATTTTGGTGTTGTGTTTGAATTGGGGTTGGTCCAATGTGTGATTAGCGCGGGACGTTCTTGGCATAAATCCCCTGATGTTGCGTGTCAACATGCTTTTTGTTGCGAGCTGCTCTTTCATTCTAGAATCCCATGGAAATCATCAGCTCTCAGGCTCCATCAAGGGTGTAAGTAGGATCGAGCATTGGTAAACTTGGAAAGGGATCAGATATAATGTTATCTACCTCAAGAGGAGGTTTTGTTTTCAATAAGCTGGTATGTTTTGAGCACTGGACGAGCGACGCGAAGACCTCGTCCTCTCCTGGCCCCAGCTTCATCATCATGCAATGGGATATAATTGTTCCGTTGAAGGTATGGTACGATACGGATTGGAGTAAAGGCCTACTCACTCTGCCTTCAGCAATTGAAGCTATGTGTCGAGTACAATCGGCGGTGGCTGGATGTGCGTATAATGTCTAGAGAACAAGTCCACAGTAGTAGACGCGTGTGATGTCGACGTGTCCGTGCAAACCGCATCTGCAAGGCTCCTCAATTCGCACAATGTGAGCTGAGAAGCTTTTGAGGAGAAGAAAACCGAGTAGCTTTCTTTTAGAGGCTACATGGTGGTGATAAGATGTGTGTGTGTCTGAAGAAGGTTGCTGCTATGGAGAGTGATCTGGGGTATCTGAGCTGCTGGATATCGGGTAGAGCCGGTGTTGGTGTGGATTTGTTACATTTCCTTTTTTTTCAATCGATGACAGCATCTTACAGGACAACACCGAACGATGTCTGAAGGTGAGGCGGGGCTAGCAGTTCGTGTCCCCCACCCACCCTTCTCCTTCGAATTTTCTCCGCACTCCGTAAAGAGTCTAGACTTAAACGTCTCAGCCTTACAAGAGTTACCGTAGCCTTAAAATATCACCCTCTCCCCCTTTCACACTTATCACTATCATCACCACCATCATCAAAAGAGTACCTTCTATCATCAACATCATCAGCATAGCCTAGCTCTTTGTTAGTACTGCTATCGTGTTCCTCACTCGTAGGCATCAACCATTCAAAGAAAACCAAGCATCCTCAACATGGCAGCAGCAATTATCGAAGCTTCGAAAAAGCACCCCAAGCCGGACCAAGTGTTCTCCTATGGAACTGCTGGTGTATGTTATTGTCCCCATATCAATTGATACTTATTAGTGTCCATAGCTAATGCTCAAGCTCCCCTGTGATAGTTCCGGATGAAGGCGTATGTTTCCAATTCCCAGGGGGTTACGAGCAGTGTGTTTCTAGCTGCTAAATCTTTGTGGGGTTTACAGGTTCCTCCTTGACTCGGTCGTCTTCCGTGTTGGCCTCCTGGCTGCACTCCGCTCACAAAGGCAGGGTGGCAGGACTATTGGTCTTATGATCACTGCCTCCCATAACGTCCCTGAAGATAACGGCGTGAAGCTTGTTGACCCCATGGTTCGTTTCGCTTTCCGTAAATACATGTAACATAGGGAGACCTAGTAACCATTTTTAGGGTGAAATGCTTGATGAAAGATGGGAGGCACATGCAGCGACCCTGGCCAATGCTTCAAGCGATGAGGATCTTGTGGCTAAGTACGAAGGCCTTATCACCGAGCTCAAGATAAACACTTCTGTTCAAGCCAATGTTATCTTCGCTAAGGACACCCGTGAATCTGGTCCTGCCCTCGTGGCAGCACTTACGGATGCACTCAATTCTGTTGGCGCAAACTTTACAGACTATGGCCTCTTGACAACACCCCAGTTGCACTACCTTGTTCGTTGCATTAACACCCAAAATCTGCCCGACACTAAACCTTACGGCGAGCCCACCGAAGAAGGCTACTATACGAAGATCGGGGCAGCTTACAGGAAGCTCATGCAAGGTAAACCCAGACAGGGACAGGTGACGGTAGATTGTGCCAATGGTGTTGGGGCACCTAAACTGAAGGCCCTCGCCGAGGCGATTGGGAAGGATATCTTCGATGTCAAGGTTATCAATGATGCTATTGATGTGCCTTCAAAGCTCAATTCACAGGTTTGTTCATGCTCTAGAATCAATAATATATGGACCATAATTAAGAATTCACTTTACGCTTTAGTGTGGTGCCGATTTTGTCAAAACGCAGCAACGTCTCCCACCTGCCTCTCAGGCCTCCGCGCTCGCACGCTGCGCCTCGCTCGACGGTGATGCAGACAGGATTGTCTACTACTTTTGTGACTCTGACGGTAGCTTTCACTTGCTTGACGGAGACAAGATCGCTACTCTTGCGGCCTCTTTTATTGCAGATCTTGTTAAGGCTGCTGGTTTGGCAGACCTTAGAATTGGTGTAGTGCAAACTGCGTACGCAAATGGGTCCTCAACAGCCTATATTACCAAGACCCTGGGCCTCCCGGTCGTTTGCACTCCAACCGGTGTCAAGCACCTGCATCATGCTGCGACCAAATTTGATTGTGGTGTCTATTTTGAAGCAAATGGCCACGGCACTGTTACTTTCTCCCTCGCGGCGCACAGCGCCATTGCTAGCCATTCCCCAGAATCTCCTGCGCAGGCGACTGCCCTCGAGAATCTGCGAGCCCTCGTTGACCTGATCAACGAGACCGTTGGAGATGCTCTTTCCGATCTCTTGCTCGTAGAAGTTATTCTCGCTCACAAGGGGTGGGGCCCCAAGGAGTGGAACAGTACCTATACCGACCTCCCCAACAGACTTGTTCGAGTTGAGGTAAAGGACCGGTCAGTATTCAAGGCGACCGACGCCGAGAGGAGACTGTTGGAACCGACAGGTGTTCAGGAAAAGATTGATTCTTTGGTTGGGAAATACAAACAGGGGAGGAGTTTTGCTAGAGCTTCCGGAACAGAGGATGCCGTCAGAGTATACTCAGAAGCTGGAGAGAGAGCCGAAGCAGATGAGCTGGCAAGGGGGGTGGCAGATATCGTTGCGCAATTTTAAAAGTTTGATCTTAGGAAGAATCGTATCCAGTTTCCCTGGGATCGCTTGCTCTGATACTCTGGGGGATTACATGGAGTAAGGTTGCGTATATACCTCTGTGAGACTTGGAATTAAAGCTACGCAGTCTTTTATTCTTGCTTTGTTTTATAACCAATAAATGGATGATATGTATGTTGCTACCTTGTTTAGAAACTGTGATTGACAGGCCGAAGTTTGCATTGCTATGAAAGTTTTATGAATGGATTTCGCATCATCAAATTGGGATTATGATTGGAGTATCAATGGTCCACGAGGCATTGACGCTCGAGGCCTCGTCTCGATAGAGCTCAAGGCATGGGGGTCCGCAAGGCGAGCATGCTCGAGGCAAATCCTCCTGCTCGAGGTTTAGGTAATCATATTACTATTGGTGACATATAATATCCAGTGAGATTGATATTATTTCCTATAGAAACATTGGAAATATCCTTTACATTAAGTATATTCGTATTATTCCCGGAGTCCCCAGGTCAGTCTCGTCAAGATTTATACCAAATCAATAATTATTTTCTTCGCCTGAATTGAATATCTCTTAATACACTTTCAACAGTAAACCCCATCTTTGATAGGTCTAAATATAGTAACGACGATCCGCCTCGAGAGCAGCTCAAGCACCTCGAGGCACCACCTCTCTTTTGACGAGCAAGTAAAGGCATAGGTGGGCAAACCGAGGCAGAGGTACCTCGAGGCACTTATCTCTGCTCGCCTCGAGCAGCCTCGTGTACCACACTAGTCCGACTTAATTGAAATGGAAGTGTGTTGAAAGATATCTACTGAGATTAATACTATCATACTCGTCACAAGAAGGGATCCATCTGAAGCCTTGCCAAGAATTGTCATCACGGTTCGGGAGCGTATGGTAGAGAGGAAGCCGATAAAGAGAATCTGACTATAGATAAAAATTAATGGCCATGGGGATTTGTTTTGAGAGGCGTTAATCGAATCCCGGGAGATACGAGTTTACTGAGGGAAATGATTGTGGAATTTAATTCATGGATTGTCACTCGCGATTCGTTACATGGATGATGATATGGGAGAGCGAGGATTCGATTGACTAACTACTACTATATATAGCTAAGATCGATACATATATATAACTACGAAGAGTAAGAGACCGGGAAGCACGAGTTGGAAGCACTAAGACTGGAAAAAATGTGTGCTCGAGAAGATGGTATGCTTATAGCTCACTGTTCCGACTACATCTATAGATCTATGGATACTGACTACTCGTACTGATAAGGCGGACTTGTCATAAAGAAAAAAGAGAGAGAGAGAGAACGAACTAATGCTAGATACTGGATAGAAAAATAAAGAGAAAAAAAATAATATTACATGATACAAAGACTAACTAGGAAACCGAGCTAAAAAAAAAGAAAACGAGAAAACGAACTAATACTACATGATTACAAAAGAGACTAGAGAACCGAGCTAAAGAGAAAGAAAAATCACATTCAGAAGACGAGGGAAAGGGTGCCAATGGTCAACTGTTTTTCTTTCTTTTTTTTCCTAATTACAGAAAGGAAAAAAGAAAAAAAACAGGACAGGGAACAATGGCCCTTTGAGGGTGGTTTACTGGCGGGTCATTGTTTAATTAATGAAGTCCCTAAATTTCAAAAACACACAAATTTAGTAAACTGCAGGATCGATATTGGGGATAGACAGATACATACCACTCCATACGGATGACGCCGACGTCTTTCTGGTTGTTGGTAAGAGCATCGAAGGCACCAACGGAGAAATCTAACTCAATGATTAGCAACTAAACGTATGAAAGATAGGTGAGGCAAGGTGAATAACATACCGACGGCATCCCTCGCGCAAGAAGGACAGGTGTCGCGCACAGTGGCCTCAATCCTGTTTCCCCTACCAGGGCCGTCAAGAGCCCTAGCCCAGATGCGCTTGCCGCAGTTAAGCTGGCCAACGTCCCTGTAGGCTCTGCTGAGGGCGACGATAAAGGCAGAGTCCTATACAAGATGTTAGTGGTGTCTATCTTACATATGTAGTGTAGGATTGGAAGTTCTACTTACAGGTAATTGCTGTCCACAGGACCCGAAACCACCGAACTGGTTGTAATATGTGCCTCTGCCAGTCATGCTAGTAGAAAATCAGTAAAATAAATATATATATGAAGATGATTAGGAAGCAAGTTACTTACGACCTACGTTCAAGAGCCGGGTTCTCGACGACGGAAGTGACTGGGACAGCAGACACCATAGAAACGGTGATGGCCGCGAGGGCAAGCATCTGGTTGATTGAGAATTGCATGGTGGAAAAAAAAAAGGCTGGTAGTTGTCGAATTGGTGAATGTAGGGATTTTTTTTTTGGATGATTTTTGCAACTAGAGGGGAATTTTCCAGGTATTTAAAGAACTTAGAAATTTCGCCGCCATTGGGCCTGGCTGGGTACTGTAAAATAATCTGCAATCTCCTCTTAATACATGCTTTGGTATCTTTAAAATTTAGAGGTAGGCTTTTCTTTGCAACTTTACCCAAGTCACATGACATATAAACTCATAACGTACAGTACACATCTGAAAACACTTAACAGCTGCTGTACGTAGCAAAAGTGAACCTCAATTTGAACTGTTTAGAGTATTACTAATTATATTATTTCCCGGAGCATTTTGAGAATCTAAATAATCCAGAAAACTAACAGAAAAGTCTCTCCAGTTATCTCAAGAATTCCCTCCCGCTACTTCGCAGGCCAAAAAATGATTCCACTCCATCACCCCCCGAATTCTTCATGAACTACTACTAAAAGTAAGTAGCTTAGCATCTTAATAATCTATTATTTTCATAAAATACAAATTGTGCGCATCTACTGCACAGTAATACCAATTGATTGTCTCTGATAACTTTTTCTCACTCAAAAACCACACAAAGGTTTTTTTTCCCGTCTATAGCTAGGTTAGGTGACTATCTCTATCTCTACATTATAGTAGAGAACACCTATACACCAAGAAACAACCACAAATATGCCAAGATCAACCTTTCTTTCACCAAGGCTGCAAAAAGAGCCCATTTAGCAATGCCAAGATACTCAGGTTCGAGTCCCGCCTGCAACTTGAACCACGGGGACCGACTCCCGCGTGAATGCCGGTGGGTGGGGAAAGATCTAGCATAAGCCCGCGAGTCGGACTAGGTCCGTGTCGATGACGAGTGAGATTCTGTGATCCGCGCTCACGAGGGTGCTGTACTCGCGCTCGCTCCGCGAGCCAGCTCAAGGGTCAAATAGACACGTCGAACCCAAGAGAGAGCTAGAAAGAAAGAACAAGTGAGAAAGATTATTGCAGGCCCTGGGGATTCATCACCCAAATCTCGACGTACTCGTGGATCATTGAGCTACTCCCTGTCTCTCAACAGCGCCCCGGCCGGTGGTTCGGCCACTTCGTCTCTCTTGGTTATCGAGGCATATGTTTTCTCTCACGGTACTCCTGGTCCGTGTCTGTACCCCCTATATACCGTCGCCCACACGGGTATGGAAATCGGCATGATTCGCGGTCAAGCTTGAGATACAGGTCGACTAGCTCGCCCGCCGGGATGTATACATCACTGTACTCTCAAAATGTCTACAGGTGTATATAAACGCGCAAAGAGCATACATAGTGAGTGTTCCTGCACCAATTCAAGCCAACCGCTACTTTCAACTTCACCCCCGCTCCCGTACTCCCCAATACCAGACCCCACGCACCCTGTACACATATCGAGTGATAACTCATGAAGGAGACAAAACCCACATAATACATAATATAAGCAGCCATAACTAACTGCTATTGCGAGAACGAAAGGAAGAGAAAGCGCGGTACTTACACCATGTACTGTCACATACGTATACAATGCACAATCTGCTGACGTTAGAAACAACTCTGCCCTAATCTAAATCCGCCAGGGCCCAGCTCAGGACAATGCAGCTGCCGAGTACAACGTATGTACATACTTGCAACTAGCTAACTGTCAACCTCCAACCGGTACCACGTATGGGAGCCCAATGCCACTGCCGCACTACCGGCCACCCGACGTGCCCGCCGGCCGCTCCTGCAAAAGCCGTAGATACACGAACCGGCCCACACGCACGTGCGCCCTATGTCAACGCCGGTCTGCACACGCAATTGAGCAAGTCGATACATATACACGGTGGAGAACCCGAGGGATTTGGGGAGGGAGGGGGCAAACGAGTGTCTCTTTCCCTATAAGCTGCAGTATATGGCAATCGATCATTCAGCACTTGAGCCAGACAGCCGGCCAGTCAGTCAGTCAGCACGGAGGTATAGCGGTATAGACGTTTATTGGCGCAGTATTAGCTCTATCGTAAGTCTTCTGCTCAACAAGCTGAGGCCTTTGAATATAAATAACGAATGCCCAGGATCGATCCAGGGATGTCTGGGGCGCTCACTAATATAATATGGGCCCACTTACCTGCCTACTTGCCAACTAGCAGCCATCTATCTATTAGGGTAGTTATAATATGCCGAGTTCCCTACTACCCCGCCCCCCACGGCACCAACTCCCGGCATAAGGTACCATGATTTCACTCAAGTCAATCTTGTGGCGGATATTGCGTAGGAGATATATGCTAATTTTGTTGTGGGTGTTTAGGCTTTTACATGGCGGGGATATGTAGCACTTTGAGCTCCACCGGTGCTACTATTAACTACTCAGGAGTCTATTTGTAGCTTGAATCAAAGGCTAGAATCAAGCTTTTTGTCTGCTCTATAGGATAAAATGAATTAATCCAGCCCACGGCCAGCTGCAAGTCGTGATTGGATTCTTAGTGCTCGACACCGCGCGGGACTGTGGGTTTTTATCCAATTTGGTTGTTTCGCTAGTAATATACAGGCTATAGCAATCTCTCGCTATAAAAATAGGATGGCCCGGTCCTGTTAACTTTCCTAACACCTAATCCTTAACCATCTATAGCGATAATTCTCTATAAGGATGCAAAATTTCGGTCCGGATCGTATCCTTATAGCGAGGGGTTGTACGTTGCTGTAGCCCTAACGTGTTTTTTCTTTCAGGGAGCGCGGAGGAAGCTATATACATACAGTGATCGGTGTAGGATCGATTCCCAGCTGACATCGTGTTATATATAGCCCCAATAACTTGGTGCGAGACTGACGACGGGTATAAGGACGACAAGCAACTCTCTACTTCATCGTTATACAAATCCCGATCAGCTGAATCAAAGGTCATTACCCCAATTCTAGACCACCTAGATTGCACGCAATTAATGAATTAAACCAAAAAAAAAAAAAAAAAAAAAAAAAAAAAACATTCTGGACCACTTTCAAACGCGAGTGACCGGCTGTGAATATACATATACGTTTCCCTCACCCCCTTTTTTTTTTTGGCGAAAAGGTTTAAATCCCACTTTCCAGCAGTAGTAAAACTCGCAGTTTCTCGCAGATCAACCCTCGCGCGGCCATCTATCTGTACACCCCACCGACCTTGCCATGCAGACCGAGTGACACCCGGTGTCCCAGCCAGCCGCGGCGGCGGCGCCCTTGGTAGCTATCAATCACGCGCTACCCGCCCTCCACAAGCTCTCCACAGCCATAGATACAAGCTACATGTAGTCGCATTCCAAGCGGGGCGAGTTAACCGCACACGAGGAAGCAGCACAGCAGCCATCGGCTCCGAACCTACCATACACCGCGCGCGCAGCTACCACCACGTGTCTTGGCACACCAGCCAGCCAGCACCACTCTACTCTAGATTCCCCCAGCAGGGCCTGGCTCACTCTCCCCTCTCCCCCAAACACAGACCCCACCACCACCACTACCACCACCACTACCACCACCGACACCACCGCCGACACCACCGCAACCTATCTACCCTCCCTCCCCAACCTCCCCGTCCACCCCCCAGCCCAGAAGCCAATGTCTCCAGACCACCCAGACCTCCAAACCCTCCGCGAAAAGCGCCTAGCCAGATTCGACCCACGAGCAGCAGCAGTACCAAGACCCACGGCGCAAGAGTTTGTTTTAGCCTTCCCGATCTGTCTACATGGTCGATGAGCTCAGCTGATGGGATGGGTGGTAGCAGCAGCAGCAGTAGTAAGACGCCGCAGATGATGCGCTATGTCCATAACGCCCGAAAGCGGCGCTGCGGCGACGTGGAGCTGGAGCTGGAGATGGAGCTGGAGAGGGGCGCGGCGAAGGTCGCGAGGGTTTGAGTGTGTGTTTTTTTAAAAGGCCCTTTTTTTCATTTATTTATTATATATATATGGGTGTGTGGATAGAACGTAGCTGGGACAGCTTTTTTCTTTTTCTTTTTCTTCTAGTTTCTTCTAGTTTATTCTGGCTCTGGCGTAATCTTTTTTTTTCTTTTCCTTTTTTTTTTTTTTTACTTTTCTAGTATGTACCATTTCTAAATACCACATCTACCAAATAATCCAAACCAATCAACCAGCCAAGTACAGTAGGCTCCCCCAGAACCAGATCTCGACACGTGTGTGGCGGCGGCAGCGGCAGCAGCACCAGCGGGGAGACGCGTCGCAGCACGTGATCTCCCCGGCGCGATCAGGGTCCTAATGATCCTTGCCGCTTGCTCTGCACTGCTCGACGAAGAAGCTTAGGAGGAGGAACTACATGGGACTAGGTAAGAGGGGGATCATCATCAACACATCAACACATCAACAACAAAAACAACAAGCCTTCCCGGCCGGTCCACCCGGGTGTTCGTTTTGGCTTACTCGACCACACATCTTTCCTCCATTCAGCATCACCATTCAGGGGAAGGTGGGGGGGGTTTTACATTAGAACAGGAACATGTTAGATTATATCTCTTTTTCTTTTATTTTATTTTTTCTCTCCGAGCCGTTTCCCTCTTCCTTCTTATCTGAAATAGATATGTAACAAACAGGAACCGGAACGGATAAAATAAATACTGATATACCTTGACTGTTCCCCATTCCTCAGCGCAGCTCAACGCGGATCCTGCAGCCGAGCGCGAGGAACACATATCTACATGTAGTTATGTATCTAGAGTAGGTGCTCTACCCCCTAACGAGAGAGACCAATCTCTAGATGTGTGAAGAGGGTCGGAGATCCTCATCTGAGGGATATCCAGCTCTCTTGCTTGCCATGTACCCAGCTAGCGAGCAAGCGGGCCGCCGCCAAACAAACAGGACCCCCCCCGCTGCCCTCCCCCCTTCGTCCCTGCTGGCGATTGATTATCGGTAGAGCATTGCAAGCACATAGATAGCCAGAACCGCCAATCGCCAATTCACCATCCATCGCCCATCACCGCCAATCGTAATCCGTCTTGATTTGTCGGCTTCGTTCTGCAAGATAGGTAACTGCCACTCACTGCAATCAGATACACACGGCAGGCCTCGCGGGCGGTCAACAGCGACCGCCCGACCGCCTACCTACTCCATCCACCCCAAGACCCAGAGATCCACCGCCCTTCTCCGAGCAAGCCGAAAAGCCTTCCTTCATCTCTCCAACTTGGGCTACAGCTACCCCATTCACCATTCGTTCTGCACATCCCAGAGCGCCAAGGAAACCATGATGTCAGCGGCTCGAAGGGAAGGAACAACGCTCCACCTCGCTCACTCAGCCTTGTGAGTTCATGAGACATCACGCGATATAACAAGCCTTGCTATTACCCACGTGTTTGGACTTGGGAGAGTTTGAAACAACCTCACTCCACCCCTCAGGGACAGCTCAGTTGTGCATGGTAGCCAACAGCAAAACGGGGTGGTGGTGGTGGTGGTCATAGCTTCTTTGATCAGGGCGATATGTACAAGCTTTTGGCTTTTATTTTGTTCTGCACTTGGAAATTTCCCCCATTAATTATTAACCCCCAACGAACGAACGGACAAGTAGCTAGCAGCAGCAGCAGCAGCAGCAGCAGCAGCAGCAGCAGCAGCAGCAGCAGCAGCAGTAGTAGTAAAAAACGCAATTCTTTTCCTTTTCATTCTTTTCATTCTTTTTTCTTTTTTCTTTTTCTGGTGTAAGTTATTCCACTGATTAAGGCCTTTCTAAAGGAGACCCGTCTTTTTGGTGCTTCTTTCTTTTATCTGGGGGGTGCCCGGGGATCGATGGGGCGTGAAGAGAGAGAAAAAAAAAAAAAAAAAAAACCTGTAATAAAATAAACGGTAAAAAAAAGAAAGAAAAAATGAATAAAATAAAAACGAGAATGTAATGATAGGAAAACGGTCATTATTCTCAGACTTCCCCCACTCCCTTCCATGAAATACAATAAATAGGGTTTCCCTGTTTCAGCTGCCCTGGTCTGCAAGGCAAATGCTAATTTTTCCTGTCAATACGGAGAGGAAAAACTCACTCACAGGGGGAAGGAACCCCAAAGAAGAAAATCACACACGGTGAATAAGAAGAAAATAAATACTCGTAACAATGACTCGTAACAACGGTGACGATGACAGTCCAGTCAAGTTCGTAAAAAAAAAAGTGGCAAGAGAAAAAAAAAAAGAATTAAAAGGAAAACGTGGCCATCTCCCAAAATACAACCACCCTTATCCAACCAGACCTCGCCCAGTATTTGTTGAAAGAAAGACCCAGTAGCGTCCAAACCAACCTTTGGTAGAAAAACCAAACCAAACCAACCCATACAACCAACCCATACACAACCCACAACAAGAGAGAAATATAAAAAATTCGCTCGAGAGGGAGAAAACGGAGAAAGAAAAAAAGAGAGAGAGAGAGAAACACAGAAGAGAAGGAATAATAGGAATTTGGAAGATAATAGAGAATTTCGTCCGCTCATCACATATCCATGCCATCATTATCAAATATTCCACTCTCCTCATCCCTCTTGTACTCAATGCCACTCATACGGCTACCCCGTCTGTCATCATAGCCTCTGCCATCTTTGTTCCGCCTGTCCTGGTTGTCATCCCAGGCGTCTTCTGAATCCTCAACGTCTTCATCCATACGCGCTAGCTCATCCCGTCCCAGGAAATGATCATCCATACTGCTCTCATCCACAAAGGTGAAACCCCGGAAGTTAGCCTGCATTCCCGGAGACAGCGGCGTGCTCGCCATGTTTCCGCCAGCCATCGCAAGCGCACGAGCATTGAGTGACTGTGACATGGGCGCATTTGTAAACTCAGGGTCAAAGTTAGAAGTATCAGTCTCCGAGCTAAGCGTGGGCTTGAACGGAGGAATGACGTTCTTGTGCAGCAACTGGTTCCAGTCAATGTCGGCGAAGAAGGGGTGCGACTTGAGCTCTTTAGCATCATGGGTAGCTCCCAGACGGTGCCTTGGGTTTCGGTTAAGAAGCTAGTAATGTCAGTTACCTTCTTCAACGTAAATCGTATAGCAGAACCAAAACTTACACCCTTGACGAAATTCCTCCCCTCAAGACTCAATGCGTCCCGAGGGAAGCGGACCTTTCCAAACGCAATGTTCTTGTACATCTGCTGGGTGTCATCTGCGTAAAACGGACTCCATCCACAGCACATCTCAAAGACCAAGACACCCAATGACCAAAAGTCCACCATCTTGGTGTAACCCTGCTCATCCAGCAGCACCTCCGGCGCAAGGTACTCTGTCGTTCCACAAAACGTGTTTGTAGTGGCATTAGCAGATAGGTTCGCCTTTGACAGTCCAAAATCGCACAACGCGATATGGCCATTCGCATCCAGCAGGATGTTCTCGGGCTTCAAGTCCCGGTAGACGATATCATGGTTGTGGAGGTGCTCCAGCGCTAGGATCAGCTCCGCAATATAAAACTTTGCGCGCTCCTCCTGGAACCTGCCCTCCTTCTGTAAATGCCAAAAGAGCTCGCCACCGGACATGTAGTCCGTGACCAGGTACAGGTCCGTCGGGGTCTGGAACGAGAACTTCAGTCCCACAATGAAGGGCGAGTCGGTGGTGGCGGTCCTGACGAGAATGTTTCGCTCGCCGAGTGTGTGCGCGACCTCCTTCTTCTGCACGATGACCTTCTTCGATAAAACCTTCATGGCGTATATCCGGTTGGTGTCCTTCTTGCGCACCTGATACACCTGGCCAAATGTTCCTACGCGACAACACAAGTTCCTATCAACATTCTGTTTCCCACATTGATAACATGTATATGCCCTTGCTGGCTGTGTAATAGCTAACCTCTTCCAATGAGCCTCAATACCTCAAAGTCATCGGGCCCGTAATGCTTCTTGGTCGTCTTCTCGAAGCTAATCTGAAGCCGGATCTCTCCGGTGACACTCTCGTTGCTAGCTCGGGCTTGTAGAGGATACCATGTATCTGCCATGTTCTGATCCCTGTTGACCAATGGACACATGCGGATGTGCCCTAGGAAACATTCTTGGTTCGAGCGGTCGTATATCGAAACGTCGATCTCGGAATGCTCCCCAATTACGTCACTGATTACACACGAACCCAGTCAATACTATTGCAAACAAAACTCGCTCGCCTCCCGGTGGAGTGTTTTGCACTTTGCATGAGAGGGAAAATCCGCATCGGATAAAAGTACATATATGCCGAGGTGTGACACAAGTGGGGGGGTATCTATCTGTTCTAGGAGAAAGTGGGGGGGGATGAAGGGGGAGCAGCGCCGTGCTACATAATCGTGAGGCAAAAAGCCTCAACACATTACACAGCACATGCGCGGGAACATCGGGTGCAGTGCGCGCAAAACGCTATTCCACAAGAAAAACAAAAATAAAAAAAAGAAACCAAGTAAGATGAGGAGGGGAAGAGAGAGCCGGGGGAGGGGGGTGAAGATGATAATAATAATAGGAGGAGTGATTTATCCAAAACTTACAACACCGCTTCGTGCTCCCACTTTGGATTTGTAGTTCCTTTTTTCGAGATTGTGCCCTGCAATTCCGACAGACTAGTGCTCGAGCTCTGACGGCTCTTCATCGGGATCGCAATGCCTGCCGATGCGCCATTCTTGTCCTGCGGCTCTCCGGCACCCATCTCATCCTTCTTCGGCCCCTTTGAGATGAACTCATTACTCTCAAAGGTGCACACCACGTACGGGTCCCTACTCGACCTGAGGCCCCTCGCCTCCTGGATGCGCACCACCATCTTGCCCTTCGGGGGTCCGACCGTCGGCGTATTATGCTGACCGCCAGAAGACGAATTGGTGGCGCCAGAAGACGTGGAGCCCGACGTAGGCGTGAGAGTACCTGTAGGCTGACGTGAGGGAGGGGGAGGGGGCGTGGGATTGCTAGTAGCGGTGGTAGCAGTGGTTGCGGCAGCGGCGCCGTTCAGGGCACTGCCGGCCGAGGTGGTGCCGCGGGGTGTCGCTGGGGGCGTGTCCTTTCCCTCAAGAAGAGCAGAGGCTGTCAGTCTCAAGGAATCCTTCTCGCGCTCCCCGGAGGACAACGAAGAAAATACATGACGGTCGGGTACAGAGAAACTGGTAGCAGCAGAAGAAGCAGCAGTGGAAGCACTCGCAGAGGTAACAGCAGAGGGGGTAGCAGAGGAAGAGGGAGAATCAATCTCCTCTTCTTCCGGAGTAGTGGCAGCGGCAGTGGAAGCACTCGCGGTACCAGCAGCAGCAGTGGTGGTTGTGGTAGCAGTAGTACCAGCACCACCACTGCCACTGCCGCCATCTTCCTCATCGCCGCCGCCTTCTCCGCCTACAATGGTTCTGTGCAGGGGAGACGACGGCGGCGGGCATGATGCCTTTCGCGCGAGACTGGGAGGAACGAGAGTTCCACAAACCTGTTGAAACCCATGCAGGATCTGCGGCAATCTCTTGTCGAGCCCACTTGGGTGAGGGGTGGTCTGGCCGCCGGTCAAATGGTCATCGTCATCGGACCTATCGCCAGAAACATCGCCATCAGAATTGTCAGCCTTGCCATGATGTTTTGGCCCCAGCAGGTTGAGGCGGAGGTTTGATAGAGCACGCTTCATTCCGGCGGAGGAGATGAGTTGCAAGGGCGCATGAACCAAAAAGAGAAAGAAAAAAAAATGTGTATATATCAAAAACAAAGAAATTGAGGGGAGATTAGAGATGACGATGGGAATAGTAGAAAAGATTTAGTTGCCGAGAGGTGAAGTGGAAAGCGGGGGGGGGGGGGGGGCGTTAGATGTAGTGTAGCGTAGATTTTTAGTGGGATATCTTTTTTTTTTACTTGGGGGAAAGTGGCGGTGCGTCCCTTTTACGTACGCAGTACCGAGGGTGTAGTAAAGAAAGGAAGGAAGGAGCAGAGAGAGGGGAGAGAGAGGGGGAGGGGGCGGATATGATGGAATATGGAATATGGAGTATGGTGGTGGAGCTAGGTGGACACCTCGATGCAGAGTAGCGTAGCAGTAGTAGCAGGTAGTCCACACAAGATGTATCACTCCACCCCCAATATTTCAAATCAAGAGCCCAATCTGGGGAAAGACAAATCGGAGAAGGAGGAAAGAAAGGAAAGGGGGGGGGGGGGGGGGGTGGGTAATTAGGCACGATGACGATTTCGAACCATATCGATTCGAACAATCTCCAAACCACCAGCCAGTACCAGAGAAAACGTATCAAGAGATAAAGAAGTAAAAAAAAAAAAAAAAAGAATTACACGCACGAATCAAAAAGCCCAAGTGAAATTCGAAAAGTAAAGTAAAGGAAAGAAGAAAAAAGCATACCTTTGACCAGCTACAGCCCTCAACATGTTTGACGCCGACGAACTATTCACCGCAGCTACCGTGTTCAGCGGCAATTGCGGCCTAGGTGAAGCCACAGCGTTCGCGGATGTAGTCGCGGTAGTGCCTGACGTCGACACCCCCATACTCGTCGACGCGCTCCGCAGGATCGGGGACCCACGCCGCGACAGCGGCGACAAGCTCTGGAACTCCGGAAGCCCGCTCGTGGGCGTGGGGCCCGATACCGGTGTTGCGGGCGCGGTAGCGGCGGATGTGGATGCGGTGACGTGGGAGGTGAGGAGGGGGGTTCCTGGTGCGGAGGAGGCGGGAGAGGAGGACCCACCCCCGCGAAAGAACTGGAATGCGGTCACCATGGCTGAAGAGGGGAGCGGAGGAGGGGAGAGGTGGGGGGGGGGATGAGGGTAAGAGGTTAGGCTGGACTTGTTTCCAACTACTATCTCACGATGGGGAAGGTTGTGGGTTTGTTGGTAGAGGTTGTTAGTTGGGTTTGGGAGAGATGACAAGATAGATAGGTGAGATTGAGAGGAGGAGGAGAGAGGGGGGGGGGGTGAAGAGAGGGCGGGGGGCGAGGCTTGATCGCTATTATTATTATGCGAATTCCCGGTTGGTTTCGGATCCCTTTTCTTCTTTCTCTCGTTCGTTCTTTTCTTTCTTCTTCTTCGTCTTCTCCTTCGACTCCTCCTCCTTCTTATTGCTCCTCCTTCAGTTTTTGGCCCCCCTTTGCTTTTTCGTCCGTTCTTTAAATGGAGACGCGGTTGACACTGCCTGAACAGTCGACCCTGTAAACTGCAGGTAGAGTAGTAGAATGTATGTAGTAAGGTAGGTGGTAGGCCTAGGCAGAGTGAAGTAAATAGTAGAGCAGTAGTAGTTATGAGAGGCACTCACTCACTTACTCACTTGTTCACTCTACAAGTTACAACCTGTGGGTAGTTAAGTAAGAATCAGTAGTCGACCACCAGATAAAAAAAGCACCTCTTCCCAGGCCTTCTATCTATCCTAATTTTTTTTCCCTGGAGACGTCGACCCGGAAAGCTCCCCCAACCCTTCCCATTCCCTTTTTCTCCCGCGGCCCTGCCTGCCTGCCTGCCTCAGTTTTCTTTTCTCACTCTTAATAATTCACCTCTTATCCCCCCCCCCTGCACGAAGGGGATAAGGGTCCGATGTAATGTAATGTAAGTAGGGGTTTCCGAAGCTCTATGGAAAGTTCCCTGCTTTTGCCAGAAAATCCGCTGGCAGCTAACCTCTCTCGGGTGAGTGGTTGGGAGTACGGTGTGTGCATATTGTGTGATATGATATGTAAACCCAATTGAAGGGCTAAATTAAATTAAATTTTTTTTTCTTTCCCCTCTGCTTTTGCCTTTGCCTTTGCCTTTGCCTTTGCATATTGCAATGGGCAATTGGGAATGATATTATCGGTTCCCGGCGCGGAGTGTACATGACGATAGATAGATGCTGAAACACCGGTACACCATGGGGGACGTTGAGGAGAATGGGGAAAAAAAAAAAAAAAAAATGTCTACTCTATTATTATAAGATTGAAGCTATGCGTCGTCGACATACATATGATGACGCGCGCGAGCACGATGATGTCTATGTTGCCTCCCCCTTTGCACTTTCCCTCACACTCATTCTCGTTATCATTACCCTCACCTTTTCCCTCCCATCCATCTATCTCACCAGCCTCTCGCTCTCCCGAACTCGAAACCCCAGCTAGCTAGACCCTACTACTGCCAGCACTAGCTACATACATCTCCACCTGCCTGCCTGCCTGCCTGCCGACATCATGCAGCCCCACGTTGCGCACGATGAGGTATGATGTAGGCAGGCAGGCCGCCGCGCCGCCGCCAGATGGAAGTACCACATACAGAACGAACCACCTTGTGTCCTCAATTGCCTCCTCAGGCACAGCTAGCTAGAAGTACATACATGTACCCTACACACTCCATCCATCCAGGGCGGCTAGCTAGGCGGGAGTACAACATAGTGGGCCCGCGGCAATGGATCGGATTGGACAGGAGCGCACTTCGGGGCCCAGCGATGGAGTAATCAGTATATGTTCCGGAGAGAAAGCAATTAATTGCAGGGTATCGTATCAATCGGGGACCCGACGATTATGGCTGGCATGGGTGGCTGGGCTGGGCTGTAGAGGTGATGTAGTAGATGTAGGTAGAGATATACGGATGTAGATGTAGATGTAGTCTAGATGTAAAAGTATATACATGTAGATATACGATGCTGCTGGTAGGTATGTACTCGGGAGCAATTAAACATCTACAAAGCATACCTACCAATATGGCCTTTAATTCCAGCCGGCCAGCCAGCTCCAATTGCCAATCCCTAATTATCATAACCAGCTGCCATACCATGCCGGCCAAATCGATCTCGGCCCTGGAGTCGTACATGCATGGTCTGTATGTACAGCGGCCGTTGTCCAGCTGCTGTCCTTCTGTCCTTCTGTCCTTCCCTTCTGTCCTGTGACTCTGTACATACTTACTTCCAGCCCTCCTCTACATACCTCCAATATAATTCCTGTTTTCCCAACGTTACGCGCGCGTGCGTGCCAATTGGACTCCGCAGCCCCTCTTTCTCGCCGCGAAACGGCGGGGTAAGTAGTGTATGTAGTGTACCTGTTGGGCTGGGGGACCTTTTTTTTTTTTTTATTTTATTTTTTCTTTCTTTTCCCCTCACTGCAAAAAAGCAAGAAACACTCTCGCTTCTTCATGAGGATAATGTTTTACCCTTGCAGTTGTACGCAATCAGGCAAGCAGTAACGCAGGAGGAGCAAGCAGGAGCAGAAGCAGGTAGTCATTCGCCATCCGCCACGATAGGTACGCGGGCCGAACATGTGACAACAATTAAACTCACTGGCAGGCTGGGGTTGCCCTGGGTATGTTGCTGTTGTTTGATAGAGGGGAGTGATCAGTGAGTGGTGTAGAGGGAGGGGCCGAGGCGCTATATGACGATGATGGATGGCAATCAAAAAGTGCACTTTTAAACGAACGAAACAATTAAATGTTTTTGTTTTCAGTTGTTTGGTTTTTATCTATCAGCGACTGGGTAATAATGTTTCCCCTGTCCCCGGGAATTAAACGATCAAGACCCCAGCTCGCAATTAAGGTGCTGGGTACGTAGGTAGTACTGTACCCACTCTGGGACTGAGATCGATGCAGAGGTTCGTCACTGTCACTTGCGGAGGAGGTACTACCTACACGCCGGTACTCTAGATCTTCTATGCCATACTCTCCACCTCCTCTGCCTGATCCTCCCATCCATCTCGCTACTCCCCTCTCCCATCTCACCTACACCTACACCACCACCACCACCACCACCACCACCTCCAGCCCCATCCATCCATCCAGCTCCAAACCTCCCACTCTCCCAACACAGCATGTACACGCCCCTCCCCGGCCTCCTCGGCACTCTCCACTCACCAAGTATTTCCGGAAGGCATGTCATGCAGTGCCACGCTACGCTATATTTTTTCCGGAGGTGCCGGGCGAGTGGGGAGAACGAAATAGAGTAAGACCGGGGGTGTGCGTGTGTGCCAGGGTTAGGTGTGGTGGTGCTTGCTTGTGGTGGTCATAGTTTTGGCTGTGTGTGATGTTACACAGGCGCGGTATGGATATGGATATGGGTTTATATAATGACTACTATGATACATAACGGGCCTTTTCAGATATGGTGCTTTTAATTGGGCGCATGGAGATGGGAGAGTCACTCGATGAGGGATGAGGGATGAGGGAGTGTCTGTCCATCGTGTGAGGGCTCGAGGATATGAGTGAGGAGGGGGTAAGGGTAAATACAGCACTCGGCCAGGCATCGCGCTATAGAGCATGTTAATTCCGGATGTTCTAGACTAGACGTGTATATCTGTGTAGATATTATATAGATAGATGCTGTATAATACTCGCCATGCAAGTAGCCAGGTGGACAGCTCAACGCTCTCGACTCAACAACAAGGGAAGGAACAAGCAATCGATCAGTCCAGGGAAAGAAAGAAAGAAAGAAAGACATCTCGAGTCCAACTGCTTTCGACCCTTCCTCTGCCCTGCTACTTTCCTACGAGTACCCACCTACTTGCACCTGCCTGCCTGTGCCTGTGCCTGTACCTATGACCATTCCCTCCTGTCCATGTGCCTCTGACCCCGAATAGGAGACCGGCCAGCCATTCAGCAATAGTCACTCACTCAGCAGCTATTTCCATCCCTTGCCAGCCAGCCTCCAGCCAGCCAGCCAGCCAGCGATCAGTTGTCAACTTGTCATCACTCCCGCGAGCGCGCGCGCCTCCGCCTCCGGTTTCTCGCTTGCCTCCCTTCCCTCGCTCCCTCGCTCCCTCGCTCGCTCCATCCCGCCCGCTCTCCCGCTCTCCCGCTCTCCCGCCCCCTTCACACAATCGCGCAATCCGCACACTTCCCCGTTGTGTCTGTCCTGACGACCATCTCGTACAACCATGCGGCTCTTCTCCCGGGCGGCGTATTTGGCCTCTGTGGCGCTTGTGTCGCTGGCGCTTCTCCTCGGGCCCGTCAACGCCTCGCGCGGCGACCGCCTCCCCGAGTTTAAGGACTGCGTAAAGGTATTCGCCCCCCCCTCCCCGGGCTCTCAATTGCCCTCACTAACCTCCCCCCGCAGAAATGCCACGCCACCCACTGCCTCTCCGACCCCCCCGCGCCCATCCCCCTGCACCTCCGCCTCCTCCTCTGGTCCTGCCCCTCCGAATGCGACTACACCTGCCAGCACGCCGTGACAACCTCGCGCTACGCCGCCGGCCAGTCCATCGAGCAGTTCCACGGCAAATGGCCGTTCGTGCGCCTCCTCGGCATCCAGGAGCCCTTCTCGGTGCTCTTCAGCATCCTCAACGGCTACGCCCACTACCGCGGCCAGCAGACCATCCGCCGCGAGCTCCCCCGAAACTACCCGCTCGTGCCCTACTACCGCCTCTTCGGCCTCTTCGGCATCGTCACCTGGTTCTGGAGCGCCGTCTTCCACATGCGCGACTTTGTCTTCACGGAGCGCATGGACTACTTCGCCGCCGGCGCCAGCGTGCTCTACGGCCTCTACCTCGCCCCCGTGCGCGTCTTTCGCCTCTACAAGCCGCACCACCGCCGGCTGCTGCGCATCTGGACGTGCGCGTGCATCGCGGCGTACGCCGCGCACGTCTACTACCTCTCCTTCATCAAGTGGGACTACGGCTACAACATGGCGGCCAACGTGGTCGTCGGCATCCTCCAGAACGGCCTGTGGACGTACTTCTCGATAAAGAACTTTAGCCAGAAGAAGAGCCTGTGGGCCGCGGGGCCCGGGCTGATTGTCACGTGGCTGGTCATGGCGATGAGTCTGGAGCTGCTGGACTTTCCGCCGCTGTGGGGGTGTATAGATGCGCATAGCTTGTGGCATGCGGCGACGGTGATGCCGGCTGTGTGGTGGTATAAGTGAGTTTTTGAACCTCCCCCCCCCCTTTTTTTTCTGTTTACCGGGAGTGTTGAGTGGGGCGGACGGTGCTAATGTGTGGTGGTGGTGGGAAGGTATCTAATCGTCGACGCAAAACGGCACATGGGCGGCGCCGTCGTCGGGGGATCGAGGTTTAAGGAGTAAAAAATTCCCCCTTCTTCTTCTGCCTCTTCCTTCTTCTACTGATTTTTGTTCACGCGGGGACTATAATCACTCCCCATACACATCTTCCCTGATACCCCCCCACCCCTTTACATACTATTTTTTTATTTTTATCGTCTTTATATTCGGATGGACTTTGAGGGACCGGAAAATTGGTGTGCAGCTTTGGAGTTGTAGTTGTAGTTGTAGTTGTAGGTTATGGGGCCCCGGAGGGGTGATCGGGGGGTTAATTGATCGAGCTAGGGTCAAGTGAAGTGGTAATTTGTTAATTCCTCGTTTGGTTGGCCGGTAGTTAGGTAATGAGATCTGGCACTGGATGCTTCTGAGCGATTGAGCAGGTAACTAGTTATCTACTCACCATTTAATTAGGTGGGATGGATAGAGAAACATTGATCCCGCCAGCACACAACCCGCTCTCAGTGGGGTGAGTGATATCTGGTGACCAAACACAGCACAAACGAGTGATGCGCCATGATCCTAATGCGGGTCCATAACTTGGCTGGGTAAGAAGCTACATGTAGATACTAGTAACACGAGATCAACGTCCATACCGCTGCAATGACTAGCTAGCTAGCTAGCTTGCCTGCTATGGAGGGATGTAGGTTAATGGACACCGGTTAGCTAGCCCGCTGGGATCTGTTTGCGGGTGTGGGGCGCTGTAACTACATGTAAGTAGCTACAAGTACGTGTAGCTAGCTATAGGGTATGTTCTGTGTATGATCTTTTGCAGGCGCGGCAGGCTAGTATATGTATCCGAAGCATACCTTCCCCCCCCCCGTCAGTGCAGTCATAGCCCATCACTCGCAATCACGCCACTAATGTGACTTCCTTCTTTTTTTTTTTTTTTTTTTTTTTTTTTTTTTTTTTTTTTTAATTTATTAATTGTATGCAACCTTACAGTTATGGCAATATGTGACGTCCTTTCCGGACTTTTGGGATATCTGGGCCGGGCCGGAGAGATATATTAGATGGCTATGGGCATGTTCCTGCGCCTGCGTGTCCGGCTAGGGGGTTTGGGGCGGGGGGGGGTTTCTGGTGCATGGGCTGAGCCCTCGATCGAGATCTCTGTAATATGTACCCAGGGTGTCGGAAAAACGATGCACATCTGTTGATATAGCTCAACCATGAGAGAATTAATCCCCCACAAAAGTCTATCCCGAGGTCAATTTAAGTGCGCGGATTCCTTCCATAAATAAAAAACGGGGTCTGTCATCGATACCTTTTTGCGGCTTTTTAATTACTGCTAGCGCTGGTTTTTGCTATATATCTAATAGTGACTTCTTAATGGTTGTTTCATATTCGGGTGGCGCTGGGTGCATTCTTAGGCATTGCAGAGATGTCCTAGTACACTCGGAGTTTGGATTTAGGGAGCGTGTTGCTTTGTGCCAAAATATACATGTAGGTATTTGGGGTAATTGGGCGTTGCCAGGCCAAAATGTGTATCACTTTCCAACACCCTGGCCATGGGTACATTCACGATATACTACCCCACCACCCCTCCACCACCTCCGCCGCCACCTCCACCTCCACCTCCACCGCCTCCCCCCACCACCTCCGCCGCCACCTCCACCTCCGCCCACGCCACAAAAAAAAACCCCCACTCCAAATCGCCACCGCGGCCCCCACATGCTCTGCGATAATTTACACAACCGCCACACACCCACCACCCCAGTGTCTGTGCACTGGCTCCGTACGCCCGGAAAGCTGTCGCCCACCGCAATCCAATCCGAGTTTACCAGTAGGTATATTCCGCACTGGTTCCACGTCACTCGGTAGTGGTGTTGGCGAACGGATGGACGATGAGTGCCAAATCTGGAGGGGAGGAACCGCCCCCGGAGCTGAGAGGCGGATGCCATCTACCCGCCCCGCAGTAGAATGCAGGGGGGTGGCACTGGCGGCGGTCGAGCATGGCACTAGTGGCACATCGAAGGAGGGGGGGGTTTTCCAGGATCCCACGATGCGGTTGGTGGGGCATTCGTGGTTCTGGTAACATAGATGGGGCGGAATATGGTGGTGGGCAAGTTCGCCCTAGAGTGAGCTCTAGTTGAGTTGGGTTCTTGCTACTCGTAGGTATGGACGCGAGACTAATTACAATCTCTAGTTATATATTTTTATCTGGAACCAATAGCTATATGTATATAGGTTTTCATGAAGCTGTAAGACCAGTCTAGGTTCGCAGGTACTGGCATGGGAAAGATAAGAGGAGAACCCATCCAAGCACCGGAGGCCAAAGACGTACTTATGTAGCAGCTCTCTGCTGTCACAGTTTTAAAATACCTGTACTGCATACAGTCATTTACTCTCTTATTTAAATTCGAAAAACTTTTGGTGGTAGCTGTGCCCACCAAGTATTGGCATCACAGGTTCTCACTCGCCAGCTCGTGCACCCCACCAACACTTGGCGTTGCACAAAAAGTACATGGACATAGCGCATAGTCAAACACATGCACTTCTCCATGGATTTTCTGTGAATTAGATTAATGTATATAGTGGTTAGACGAACCTCTACACGAAATGATGCGAACAACTGGCTGGCTGGCGGGAGCAAAAAGAAAAAAAAAGAAAAGGAAGGGGCACGCAACACACACATGCCCGCGGGCTAAAAGGCATTTTTGTTTGTTGCACTTGTGTTTGGCATTTTTTTTTTTTTGTTGGTTATCAATAAGAAGCTGTGGTTTCGATTAAAGGTTACAAATTATATTGTGAGACGACGGGAGAAAAAAGAACAACAAAAAGAGAAGACTAGAGAATGGGGAAAGAACGTAAAAGTAAAAGAATAGGAGGACCCTCTTACAACTCCCATCCCCCTCTCCTCCTGAGCCCTCGTCTCAAACCACGAACCCAGATAGACACATGAACAGCTACTATATTGATCATGAAGCCAACCCAGTCATCCAGAAATACCTTCCCCACCTTATATTCCCCCCCCCCCCCCCCCCAAACCTACTAAACTATTCGAACGACATCGAGACTATATTTGCATATCCTCTCAGAAGCTCGGCCCGCTTCTCCGGCGTCTGATTAGCCACAGCCTGCTCAATCGCTACTCTCGTACTCTGCGGATAGTTAGAAAACACACGGTGCACAATATTCGAGGACCACGAACCCGAACTCGTTGCAGAGTTCTCCCGGCCAGTAGCGTTGAGGTCGTAGACGAACGACCAATTTGGACGAGGACAAGGAGTTGGTGGCCCACGTGAAAAATGAAGCCTTGAAGCTGGGTGGAGTTGCGACTGGAGGTACGGCTGGAGGTACTGCTGAGGCATCACGACGGGGATGTTCTGGCCTTTTGGTGCGGGACGAGAGAGAGGCTCCCTCCAGGGGGGGAATGCCTGACGGGGAGGGAGAGGCAATGTGACATTGGGCACTGGATTGTCGGTCCGATAGTTCTGGTAGGCCTGAAAGATTTCGGGCCCGCTTCGTTGACTTGTCGTTGAAGAAGCATCGCTGCCATCTCCTGGAGGCTGCTCCTGGTGCTTGCGTCTTTCAGCTTCCTCCATTTCGGCGGTGCAGCCAGGACAGACACCACCGCTGGGGTCGTCGGAGTCGTATTCGTTGATGAATTGAGGTGAGCACATCCCGCGACCGCAGTATCTCGGACCGGCCAACGAAGCTTCAGCTTGGGCATTGGCTTTGGCGTTGGTGCAGAAAGCGATAACAGTCTTTGTGCGTTCATCGTGCTGGCATGATCGCCAACGGTTTATTATGACAAAACACATATCTGATATTTTGTTTGGTGTTTTGTGGGATTCGGTCTGTTGATGGTGGAGTCTTGATCTGGGTTGCCAGCGATTGTCATTATTTGTGACTTCCCCACTCTGGCGTAGACGATCGGACGGGGCTCTCCAAGTACTAGCTTCTTTTTTTCTCCCTCTTTTTTCTTTGCCCTGAGATACAAAAGTAGGAAAATAGAACGGGCTTGTACACGTAGAACAAGGGCCTGTATTTATATTTCCGTTTTCAAACCAAACCTTGTATCATACATACATATACATAAACCAGGCAGTTACACCACCTGCTATTGTTGGTGTGAATTTCTTTGAGTTTTTTTCTCGGTCCCTATAGCTAGCTAGGAGCGCTACTACACCCAGTTCCAGGTTTATTGTGTGCATGCGTGTGTATACATGGCCGCCCTAGATGTGCGACTGTAAACGCTTGGTTTACTTATATATAATGGTAAATATATTGAGTAGGATATGGGCACTACGACCTTTGAATATCTAGTTTTCATTATTTCACAGAAAAGCCCCCCACTCAGTATTGTAGAGGGATTTTTATTGTTGGAAGATGCCAATATAACTCTTTAGACACGATAAACATATGCTCATTTGATTGCCAACTACATTCACTGGCCATGGGTGGGTGTGAAATTGGAGACGTAGTTTGTGATAGTATAAAAAGGGTGAATAGATACGATCAATGACATTAAGCAGGTAGTGCTTATGGTGTCGAAATCGTACCTTAATTCCCCCCACTTCCAAGACCTGTTTTGTACACGGGCAGCCCATTCTCCCGCGACAGCACCACCCGAGCTTGGCTGTATTGTGGTGGTCATGATCTATAAACACGTTACCTGCATAATAATCTGAGAAAGCTCATTGGTTAATCAACTTCGATAGCCATTATTACTGGATGCATTGTACGTACCGGAAGTAGCATTCCCGACAAACCATCACGCTCGGGAATTTGTAAACATTGAGGTGCCGGCGAACTTTAGGAGCTTTGATGCAGCCACTTTGTAAAATACAAAAGCTTAAGGCACCAATATGGGCCAGAATAGGGGTTGGCCTTATTATCAGCAACCAAAATACGTATACACGTAGCCTTAACTCTCCGAGTCGTTATATACCGTGTTCTAAGTCTATGCCGGTATCTTCTTTGACAGATTCTATCTCTCTAAAGTAAAACGAATAGTGCAGAGCCAGTGTTGCTAAATGTATTATTGGTTTAGAGGCCGGGAGGCCGCATGCCCAATTCTTTCACTGAGTACCTAGAGATAGGAGAGACAGCAAGGCTTATAGCCATTTAGAGTAAAGAGTACAGGTTCCTCATCTACCGTATACACACGCCCCACAGGAAGTTTCAATTCACGCTTAGACCAACAAAGTCGTCAGTCAAGATCTAGATCTCATCCTAGCTTTGTTGTGAAATAGGAGTTGTGCTTGGATGAATGGGATATAGAATGTATACCTATGTTCCTTCAAAATAGCAAATTGTGGCCTTAAGGTGTGCAACTGCTGCGGAAACCTTATACGTGTATTGTTTGGTATTCAGTTAGAATATATAGGTACTCATGAGACTGGTATTCTTTGGGAGAGGTGTGTCTTACTACTATATCAAGATTATGCTATCTTTGTCTATTGATTTTCCTGTTTCTTTTGTCAAAATCCTGATTGATAGAATGTCTTCGTGCTATCATAGGTTGTATCACTCAAGGTCTTGTGAAGATCACTATCGTCGTTTCGTTCCTCAGACATCATTCCACTTTAGACCATGAGAAACTAGCACCGAATTTCTTTCAAGCTCCTACCTCTTAAATGTTTCGCCATATAAGCTTAAATAGCTAGCTGCAGCCTCTATTATTCTGTAACGCCGGAATAAGCTGTATGATCACCGGGCGAACGTTGGCACCAATTGAAATATCCCAAGAGACTTCCAGTGCTCGGGAGCGTGCATCATGATGACCATAAACCTGATGTGCTATGTCGGAGGATATGAAGCCCGGGCCGATCTAGCTGCAAGTATAGATTTCCAGGCTGTTGATTAAAGTAAAGCAGCGTAGGCCATCCACGGTCCAGTCATAACCATATCATAACCATATGAGCGAATAGCCATTCAATTCCTGAGTAGAGGATTCATATTTATGATTAAAATAATGTCTTTTCAGAGCTCAGGGAGTTAATTTGTTTACTTGGCATTAGTTCTAGTTGAAGCATACCAGTATACGAATTAGTAGGCTAACCGATGAACAGGAAATAATGTACATGTGTGTGTGAGAGAGAGACGAATAAATCTCTTCTTCCAATGAATGCCAAGAAGAATCAATATGATTATAGTTTTGGCTAGTAAATTGGGCCAATACCACACGTGTCCTATCGGGCCGTCTTCTTGTATCACAATCAATTGTTAGTTTGAATGATCATGAGGAATGGCATCAAACTGAGACCATAGCTACATACATGTACATGTACATGTAGTCCCACGCTAGATGCATCATAATTTACACCGAACCCGAGAGTTTGCTTATGTTTAACCAAGTATCAATTGAGACTGGAGTTGATACTCCGAGTAATACGGCAAACCTGATGGATGCAACGAATACATGTGCCAAGGGAGGATTGACACCAAGAAGTAAGAATCTAAATATTAGGATGACCTCACTTAACTGGATAGAGATATTAATGGTTGCACTCTACTAGCCCATATTACTTATCTCCCCGTACGGCGCTCAGCGAATAGGGGGCCGAATATATCCTCTCGAACTTATATGTGCTGATAGAGGGAGAGGGGCTAGTAAGCAACTACATGTAGTATGATGGTGAATATGGCACAAATTGATACCAGATTAAATACAGCCTAACCTTTCAGCCTGGAGATTTGGTCAAAGGAAACGTTCAAGATGCTTCGAAGAGCCAAATACCAAAATTATTCGACAAAACGAAGGCTAAGAATTCGATTGTTCAGTCTAGTATCCGCATCAGAGACTCTGTGACGCTCAAATTACTACTGGTACCCAGAATAGGAAATCCCAAAAGGAAAGCCCATATATGTAGCTACATGTATGGCACTCTGATTCCTAGTCCTCAATAGTATATGCAGCTGTTTAGAAATAAAGAAAGGTGTTCCGATTAGGTTCAAACGTGTGCAGGCTGCTTCTAACAACTCTTTTACCCCATTCTGAATTTTGAAGATAGATGTATTATCACCACACGTGTACTATACATACCGGGGCGTGTATATGGACGTACTTGTGGCCCGTTGGATCACAATCACCTTACACCTCCTAGTTGGGTATTGGTTATTTTGAGGACTGATCGCTTCGGTATGCCATGTTCAATGATTAGCCTTTCAACATCCTTGCGGTACTACATGTACTTTACGGGGTGGCTGCTGCTCCGGTGTTGCAAACAGTTTTTACAGATACATGTACACTTCCGGCGCCGCCAGGCACAACAGCTCGCGCTCGAGCACTTGCGGATAGGTGTTTTCTTGTCTCCTTCACGCCTATCTGAAATACAACAGTTAATTAAAAAAAAATCCAGTAAAGTGAATTGATTGATCCTCTCAGGGCTTACTGAATTGATAGGAGGTATCTTGATAGGATGTGAGCTACCAAGATCGGGTGGTATTAACGGAACTGAAAAAGGCATTTCGTGCCGAAAGAGGCTCTATAGACGCTTAGAATATTCAAACCGGCATAAAATCAATTTCAACGCGTATTCTTTTATCGAATCTGGGATATATATATCGCGTCACGTTACTGTTGGTAAACATTTGGCCGATTATACCATTATTATAAGAGGATTTCCCGGTCTGAAGCATTCTTCAATTAAGAGAAACCTTTTAACAGCATAATATATAGACAGTAATTAATGGATCTGAATTATGGTGAGGCGAGGATATCTATCTGCACGATTACACTATTGTGTTAACGATAACTGACGCTTTTTATTTACGTATCTACAGGTATCAAGCTACATTTAGCTTTCTATTCTTATTGGTATCATTCATGCCCCTCTACCTCTGTGACTCGTCGAAAAGAGGGAGTTGCTTTGCATTCTTCTTCACAAGCTATCACTCGACTGACTTAGTCACGTACTTGCCGATAGTCATCGAATCGTAATACTTCAAGAGTTGATTATATTATGCGTGCATCGTATTTCCGTACGTACATTGACGTTGTATGTGTTGAATAGTCTTATCTTAATTAGCCAGCGTTTTAACTCGCTTGCTAATTGGTTTCTTGGTTGAGTGATCACTGATCACGGTTGTTGACATACCCTGGACACTTCGGCCTCATGGACCATTCTTCGGTCCAACTCAAGCTATGATGAATCTAACCTGTATATTCTGTACGCATGTCGTGAAAGACTCGATTTCGCATGCTTTACGCATGGTCTAATGATAAATTTTAAGGATTATCTTTTCCAGTTCTTCTGTCTAAATAAGCCGAAGTTTACGATATATAGTTTGGTGGTATCATCGGTGATATATATCAACGATTGAATTTCTTCCTAACTCCTTATGGCTCTATATATTTGAACCCCAGACTAGATAACTAAGCGATTGGAAGAAAGGATTCCTGCTAAGCGGGGCCTGTCTGGTATCGGAGGGGGAAATTGTAGGATTGATGGAGTAGAAAAATAAAGTGTTATGCATTCCCGACTGATAAGCACAAACATGCGTCGAAGGCAAAAAGAGAAATGTGGTATGTAAATCTTGTCTCGTGGTAACTACACACATTTGGAGATATTTACAATGCTTCGTGTGAATCTTATGATTCTTTATGAGGACGTTGGTAAGACCTGGTACAAGGTATACTATATTATGCGCGCACCTGGGTCACAAGTAGTCTGAACGGGAGTACTTAGCACGTGCAAATGTATTTTGAATTGAACTAGTGTACCAATAGTCTATCCTTATTTTGCACTGCACTTTGTAGAACATTAATTCCGGTGCAGCCCGTTTCGCGATCGGGAATTCTATGAACTTGGCGCTTTGAAACAAGGCGAAGATTGCTTTGGGGCAAGAAAAGGCTGAACGTTCATGTCGACACCAAACAAGGCTGGAATTTACAAGGCCGCAGGATCAACTCTGGGTTACATGACTGCCTTGGCTTGAGCATTCCTGCGATCGGAGTGAGCAAAGCACAAAATGACTCCTAGGTTCCCACACTGAATTAGCTCCGGCAACGCACTCTCGAACTTTCTATCGATATACTAGCTCATAGATTAATGAGCATCTCCAAACCCCCGAATTCAAAACGTATATCAAGTGGTATGGTAGCTCCCTAGCAATGAATAATTTATTAAGAAGCAATGTTACTAAACAAATATATATATATATATACACACCACCATGAGTAGATGTAGAGTGATATTGCATGACCAAGGTCTTGGCGTCAATTTGTAGCAGCGAAACGACCGAATTTGATAATATCTTTCGATGGCCTAGGTCTGTTAGCGCTACAGTATCACCTAACGAGATGCCACGGCTCTAGTAGGCGATTCGATTATTCTCGAAATATTCCGAATCGATACCGATATCCAATTGGACCGAAATATGCTAACAGCTGTCGAGTAGTTTCTAAATATATCCGAACAGTGCATGTGTTTCTTCCTCGCTTGTACATAGATTTATCAATCGAAACTCTTGAATTAGTCGGTGAGTATTTCAGGAGAGATAAAAAAGCTCCGACGTTAGTGTGTCCATCTCACCGAAGTGACTCAAGGTAGAGGGTATCACGAAAGGACACGTTTTGTGAAAAATTCTCCCAGGAAACTAAGATTTGCGACTACAGTCGTTCGCCGATATAACGAATGCCAAAAAAGCCACAAATTTGCTATAACGAACGGGTTTCGGTGATCCGAATCTAAATTTCACATAGAAACTTGCCTGCTATACCGAATAATCTACTGTATCGAACGGAGAACTTTGGAATATGCACGTTCGTTATATCGGCGGACGACTGTAGAGAGCTTTGCTACTCAAGCTCGTCCTCGTAACCGGGGATGAGTCCAGTGGAGCCTGAGTGGACACTTGCGTGACGGTGACTAGAAAGCGGGGGCTAATATTGATAAGGCTGGGTATATAGGTATGGTACATAGTTCTTAGAACGACGCTAGAATTGGCCTCCTGACCAACTCTGAGCAGTTCGGTACTCTTCTCTATCGGATTAGAACCAATGTTTTTTGACAAGTGGAAAGTGGAGAGGCACAAGGCTATCTACCTAGTAGAGCACCGTGTCATTGGTATGAGTGATGTCTGGTGAAGGAATATCGGCCTAAAGCAGAGTACTACGAATGGCCAAAAGGGACATCGAGAGCAGGTACTTACGCGGCTATTCGGAGATAATCGGGAATGATAACACACCCCTTGGTCTTTGATATTCAGCAAGAAAAAATTGAGGCCCCCGTGTCGTTGTCAAGAAAAGTTTTTCATGCAGGGAAGGGAAAAAAAAAGCCCCATATTGATTCCTAGTTGTTTACTGGCATGCTCTAAAACCTGTTTGAGTAGTAAGAAGTTAATAACTGATAGATTATTGGGAATGGAAACAAAGGTGACTTTCTTGACAAACAAGGACTTCTTGCCGCCGCCACCCATTTTACGAAGAAAACATAAATACCTACTGCTCTTTGCTAAGTTCTAACCGATAAGGACATTAATGCTTGCCCCGGGCCGCTGTTAGGTGGCTGAGAATAAAATTCGGACGGCACGGGAGTTTTTTTGTCGAATCGGTTTCAAGTCTCGACCTAAAAACATTTAGTTTCGGAATTTCAATCACCCCTGTCTGGCTGAAGTTCAATTAACGGAGAGCTTCGTCTCATCAGACGTCATCGCAGAGAGAGCAATGAGTTCAGCTTCAATATGCGATGCTGAGCGAAAGAAGCGTAGCAGAATACGATGCCCGTCCGTGAATAGGGATTGATCCCATGCCCGTGCGATGATGCCCCGGATTATGTATGTATGTTCAAATACGTAATGGCATGAGCATTGAGCAATTGTCAAATTCTGCGCACGTGCGGATCCATCTTATAGCACTCTATATACCCATTTCGGTATGCGAAGTGCAAAGGGACAGGTCAATTAACGTTATTAGAGTTATCCCACGAGAGCTGCAGTTCTCACGAACGGATTGAGAAATCATCTAATATCCTGTTTATTTCTTGTGAAATATTAATTCAGCCTAGGAAACCTTGTTAGATTAACGCTTGGGATGGAAGGAATAAGGAAAGTGCTTCACTGGAAAGCGGGGAAAGGGGGGAGGGAGGCTGAGACTTGATTATTATCAAAGTCACATCTTTCCCGCATTAATAAACATATCTACTCGTGCCAATAGTGCTCATATCTGTTGTTGTAGATGAAGAGAGATAGAATTTGGTCCAGCGCTACTATCAGAGAAAGTACCAATTCGGACTATTCTCGAATAGCGTCGATGTTAGATTTCTTACGATACCCGCCGAGTGAGCCTACAGCCTCGGTGCGCGGCGGCGTGCGGCGGCGGCGGGGTAAGACCGAATAGAAACCTTTCTATTTGCGCTCATGGTACCCAAAATATCATAGATCCGTAGCCGCTCCACCTTCGCTTGGATTTTAGGTATGGTTTTTTTTTGCCCCTCTTTCTAGATCCAGTATAGTTAGATTGTATAATTTGTATTGCCCCTCTTCCCTACAACGGGACAGTCTTTGCGTTCCATGTCGACTTGCCCCTGCAAACGAACAGACGACACGTTGAGAGCAAAGGACCCTGAATTTTTTTCTTTCCTTTTTCACTTAGAAATACAGTTACCGCCCAAAAGCACGCCGTGCGTTAGTCTTGTTTTTATGTGAGGAGCTTTGAGGTTTGGAGATTCTTCTTAAGCTGCATATGCACGTCAGGTCGAGTCGGAGGTTGTAACCCCATGTAAGCGGGATTGCGACAAGATCAGTGGAGAGGCACGTACGATTCAACTTTACGTTGACGTCGAGGTCATCAAATGATAAACACATAGAACTAGAGCGAGGAAAGGCGATTCCCATGCACGATGTTCTTGATATACTCGCTATCATCCATAAGAACCTGAAAATGCAGGTGAATAAGACAGGGATGATTTCTAGGGGAGAACGGCGCCACTACATACAAATAATCCTTGTAAATGTCACTTGCATTTTCAGGTTCTTATGGATGATAGCGAGTATATGTTTATGTTGCCGGGTCAATAGGCCATGAGGATGCAATCAGAAGTTGACGATCTAGAACAAATATCGAAGTTTAGAATCGTGAAAGTGAGACCTACGTTGACATATGTCTACGGGTAGGAGGTGTTCATAACATGCAGGGCAGTAGAAAACAGCACCTTGTAGCGGAAAATAGGGACAAGCCGAGGTTTGCGTCGTACGTACCACAAAGTACACATTTCCCCGCATAAACGTGATAGAAAGATCAGCCAGGCCACAAAAAAAGATATCTCCAAACGAACCGGGATTGATTGTAAAGTGGGCGGCAGATATCCGATCGTACTCGAGACTGGAAAAAGTAAAATCTACTCGTCACAAAATCCGGGGGTTGCAGCCAATCGTGATGCCTCAATCGCTGGATCCAGGGGTTTAATTTTTTTTATCGCGTGTTGAGTTCCACGACCACCGTTGGTTATGTAGATATCCCAATTGTTTCGTTTCGTTTCCGAGTTCAAAGCTTAGCTCAACTTGTTTCTGCCTAATTTTGAGTCTTGTATTACGCTCTTCCTGGCGTTTTTAAGTGGTCGGGTCTGGTGGTATTTGGTCGTCACATGTAACATACCTACATAGCTTAAACAACCAGACCGGCAGAGCCTCATTTTCTTCCCTGTGAATCCGGTGCGCCAGTACCAATGCAGACAAATACGGATCTTACCCGAATTTTAGCGAGATATTTCTTTTCTCTGTAGAAATGTAGTTACAGATATCTTCGTGAATTTTTATAGAAAGCTCGTTGAGTTTCCAGTTGACTTTATCAATACTTTGCATGTAGTGATGGTATGCAGATCAGAATGAGATGCGGCTGTTGCACTAGAACAAGCCAGGAAAGACGTCACGTTGAAACCCACACACGCACACAAAATAGAATAAATTTTTGAGAATTTCAACGACGTGGCTGGAGTGAAGTGATCGTCTTTCGAGTATTTTGTATTTTACTTTTTTGTTCTGCATGGGCCAGGGTCTTGTACTGTATTAGACGAAAAATGGAAAGGACGTCGGACGAGGATGCAGCTAAAAAAAATAAAAAAAAATTGCCTTGCACGCACCCATACGGGCTCGATATCTTGATGCTAGAAACCATGGTCCTCTTCTCTCGAACGACCCATTGCAATCCAGAAACAGGTTAGGCGACCTCAAATCCCCTCGTGTAATCGGAGTAGGTATCAAAACGCCATACATTCGTCCTGACGTCGAGGACCTCCGAGGACTAAAGTTGATGCTGTCAGCGCAAGGGCCATTGCGCCATGGCTTCTGCAACTACCCTCCGAGTACATTCGATATGATTCTTGCTGGTACGCTCGAGAGTCTGATTAGAGGATATCGCTAGCAGCGGTATCTTCTAACGGCTCCGTTGCTTGCCCCTCACTTCACAAAGTATCCAGCTTTTATGTGATTTGACAGAAGGGCCAGGAGCTGCAGGCAATGCACCCACCCGCGCAGAATCTTGCGTTTAGGAGATGGATTAAGTAGATTATATCCGAGCCAGATCAAGAATTGAGCGAATTGAAGGTGAGCAGAGACCTAAAATAAATCGCTGTGAGGGGAGGAGGTTTCTGTTTGTTCATCGCGGCTGTTGCACACCTCTCAAGCACTACAAAAAGAAAGAGGTATTTGGATAGGTGCGATATCTCTGAGATATGTCGCGTAAAGAAGCCTAGTGTATTTTATCGAATAGGTAAATCGAATTGATCTGATGTAAAATATCATTTTTTTCTTTTTGTTAACGTAGTAACGTCGTCGTTGTGTACGACTGACTACACATGACAAAATCTTGAAACCGCCCAACGACCGCACTACTTACGCTTCCTACCCCCCGCTCTTGTCGTTTTCTCTTCTCTTTTCTTTCCACCTCAACCTCACCAAGGCAAATCCCAGATCCCAACCAAACAGAACCATATCCACAGAACCCGTATAACCAGAATTATCATCGTCACCAAGAAAAAATGTCACAAGCTTCGAACATCGCCGTTGAGTTGTAAATTCCTCTGGAGGTGTTGCACAGCATCTCCAGCCCGACAACTCCAGTGATTGACATTAACAAACGACAAGAAACGAAGATAATCCTGAAAGCTCTTGCATTTTCACCTTAACGGACGAGAGCTTGCCCAGAATATCGAAACCGGCTTCTCTCAAAAGCCATTATTCTGTTGCATTCGGGACAGCGAACATACGACCAAAGGTGCCATCATTTTTGCGCTTGGCCTCGAAATAGTCAAGGAGGATTTGGGAAGGAAAAAAAATTAAATTTCTTACCCCAGCAACAACCAACCACAACTCTCTACCAACCACTCACCCATTCACTCTACCCCACCACACCCGAACCAGATCTAAAATCCCCTTCAGAACGAATTAAAGACCTACGCACTCACATCTACTTATAATTGCTATTTCTTCTTCCACTGAATTTCAATTTCACAATACAACAAAATGTCCCGCAAATCAGCTCTGCAGACTCTTACTGCGTCGGGCTTATTCAATACGACTTCTCATCATAGTTCATCAATCATCGTCAGCGATAAGTCAACCCCAAGAAACCCATATATCCTTCAAGAAGAAATCATCCCTGGGAAAACTCCGTACACTAGAAGACATCACGGCAAATCATCTGGATTGGTGTCAGGATCGAAGGGAGGAGGTGGTAAAGACGGAAGAAATGGTGGGAAAAATGGAAACGGAGGAAATCAAGGGCAGTCCGACAATGGCTCGGAAAGTTCAAGTAGTCAGGATGATGAAGAGGAAGATGATGGAGAAGCGGACGAGGAGGACGAAGAAGAGCCAGCTGTCAGTGGCCCCGTCCGTATAAATGATGAAAATGAGACTGCAATCGTCGATAAGTCGTCCTTGGGCCATCCGGCCAGAGCAACGATTTCGACAGTTAAGGAATCATTGAAGGGAGGAGATCACCGGACGGGGTCAACTTTAAAGAAGAGGACTTTCAGTATGACGGAAAAGGATGTGAGAAGATACGACGCCGACCTCGACGCTGACCTCGATGCCGAAAACGAAAGTGGGAATGAGTCGGATTATCCACGTAAAAGGATTGCAACAGAGTTATCAAACACGAACGGTATCTTGACATATCACTCAGCGCCCCCTTCAGTCGTTACAACAGATACCGCACCTTATGATTTAGCTGATCTTGATGATCTTGATGATCTTGACGATGAAGATATTTTGGATGACGAGGAGTCCGCGCTAATTCAAGAATTTGAAGCAAACGGCTGCGATACTCCAGTGGACCTATCTACTCCTAGTACTATATTTCGCGAATACGGCGACGAGGACCCTACCGACCCAAATTTGATCACAGCTGAGGAATTGGAAGACCTAGATAATGAAGTCTTCGGTGTTGGTTGGGGAGACCCCAGCGCCTTTCACGACATTTCGCTCGCAAATGATTTTACCTCCTTTTCTGATCCTTTTGCAGACATTCAACTCGATTATGGCCTTTTCCCAGAAAGCATAAGTGAAATGTCCGGTGCAGAATTTAGCACCCCATTTGATACCCCTAATTACACACCCCGCGGTTCTTTCTCTGGAATCTTTTCTGAACCTAGCACTCCCGATAATTCTACCGAGTCGGATGATGATGATGATGATGATTTTAATCAATTGGCGGAATCGGCACCTTACTTCGAGAGAAAAGACCCTGCCTTGAAGCATATCGTCGACACTGCAGGAGAAGGTGGCTGGGCCGATGATTCGGATGAGGAACATGGGTTGTCTTGGAAGCTCTTCTTTTCCAAGGGCGAGGTTAATGGTGGCAAAAGCGAAGAAGACAGTGAAAGTGAGGCTTCTAGTTTCGAGTTGAGTGATGCCATATGTACTGACGAATTTCTCCTCACCCTCAGCCGACGAAGGAGAAACCACCGATGAAGAGGAAGACCTCCCCATGCCTACGCCCCGAAGCAAATCGATGCTTCGTCGTGCGTCGGTCTCATCTGTCGGCTCATCTCGCCCTCAAGTTGTACACATTGACAATACCTCTGGCGGCCCTACAGTCGCCAGTTGGGTTGCTGATCCTAATCGTACAATCTGTGTGATTGATGGATCAAAGAAAACCTTTCTCCTTCCAGGTGCCTCTAGGGGTTACGAATTTAATACTGGTGGAACCGATGTCTCTCAATTGATGCTCGAAGAAAGTGAGAGTGAGAAGTCTACCGGCCCAATGGGCTATAATCCTACTCTAGGCGGCTTGATTGGGGACGATGGGTTATTCTTAGATGGAAACGACATTCTGGGACCCGCAGAAGCGCTTTACGATAACTTGGACATCGACGGCATCTTCGACTTGGGGGACTTGGACGGGGATCTTATCACCAACGACGATGAAATCGATGAGTTCGAACAAGATCTACAAATTACAGACTTTTTGGATTTCTCGACCGATGATGCCGACGGCGAAACACATGATGATAACTCTGATGACAATGACGATGGCGCCTATAACGACGATGGAGACGACGAATGCATTGGTGCCGTTGAGAATTCTGAAGATATGCTTGCACGATGGGACCAGGTTGCAGTTACGTCTTTTCGCAAACGGCAAATGCAGCATGCCCAGGGAAATATTCTCTCAAACAACGCAGCAACATCCCACAAAATTGGTGACCGCAGATTATCACAGACAATTACACCAGCTAGAAAGAAAAAGGTTAGATCAAGATTCATGATCAACAGCAAAGGCTCGGGGCCTAGTAATGGTATCAAGAAGGTGGCTAGCAACAAGAAAAATGGAGCCAACATTGGTGTAGGGGGTCAATGGGGTTTGATCGATATTTGATGGGCCTAGACATTGATTAAAGGGAAACGATGCCTGGCCATCTCGATTTCCCTTGTCATAGCTCGGATCAAGATGGCGATGAGTAGAGAAAAGATTCCAGACGGCGAGCCTTGGCAAGAGGGTTCTTACGTTTAGAACTATAAAAAAGTTAGCTGAGGAGTAGGACCAGGAAAAATAGGGCCGGCGTGCCCTAGGATTACACAAAAGTTATGGAGAATGACACCAGGTAGAAGAGGGAAAGGGTTAGTGGTGGTAGGTTTCTCGGCCCAGCCAATGTCGTCTACTACATTTATGTACTAGACAAATACTTTTTTTCTGTCTCGATATTTTTGGTTGTCATATCCTTTTAGTTTTTTTACCTTTAGTTTTTTTTGTTTGCGAGCCTCTGTTTTCCTTTCTTGGTTTCTTGTTTCATATTAGGGGATATCTTTTCAGTTCGGTCGGTTTGGCATTTCTTCTTTTGTCCAATGGTTTGGGGGGTTTTTCTGTGATTTTGTATCCATTCCAACGTTTGTCATGCTTTTATGGTTAAAAGTTCTATCATATTCGTCTCCTTTGTCAATGGAGTTATTCTTCCTTCACCCTATCCAAATCTTCCCATTTCCAGGAGTCCCACATGTATATGCTGCAAGCTTTGAGAGGGATGTTTTAACAACAAATTATTTTTCTCTTCTCCCTCGTTCTACAGACGATGTTCAAAGAGAGTAATCCCTTGTTTTCTGATCTTTTATTTCCCTGATATAATACACATGTACGTATTGTCCATTCTAGCTTCTTCTTGCATGTAGGCACACACCAATATCATTATGTATGTTTCTGTTTCTTGAACTAAAGAGAGCTATCCTTCTTGAGGACGATAATCGGGGTTGGCACAGTTCATTGGCGGATAACTTCTATGATAATATTAAATGATTCTCTTGTCTCAATAAGATGCTGTTCTGGGAAATGAATGCCAAGACAGTGACTGATCGGTGTTCAGAGGTTCCGCAGATATAGAAAACACAACAATACCGTAATCATGAGTTAAGACTTCGTTTCGAGCTAAATTTCAAGTATACACAGATCGTTAAGTATATAGTAGGACTTAATACAGGACCTGATGCGTACGTATTGCCCTTCTGTCTTTGGAGCTGCCACAAGTCGTTGAACTTTGAGGGGATCATGCATAGACTTGGCATAAACTCGTGCTGTGAAACACCCATTTTGCTTTTTTCCATTCTGGCACTCTGATGCCCAATACATATAATTCGCTATGACTCCCGGAGCCAAGAAAAGCTTCTAGTTAGGAGGTCTGGTCGATAGCTTTAATGTGCCCTCTTTGACTCTTCTCTTCCCCTCCGACGCTTTCCAGACCTCCCCCCTCCGCATCAATGTCCAACTCCCATATATATATTATTAATTACTACTTCTGAAGTCCCTAAATTGTGCCTCGAGACTACGCTATCATAATTACAATCAATATCAAAAACCATACGGCATTCTCAGAAATTAAAACGCTCAACGCTCAACGCTCAACACTCATCACACCCAATACACATCAACAAAGTTCATGTAGTCATAAGCGTGACTAGCTACCATATCATACTCACCCCACCCTTGTGGACCCCGCCCTCTCTGACCACCCTCTCACTCCTATTCCAGCACCTTCCCCCACCACCATCCACGAGAAAACCAGCGAGGAAATCCTCAATCCAACAACCACAAGGCCTCTCCCAAATCCTGGGGAATCCATGAATGAAAACTTTAAAAATGAATAACAGATCCGGACTGCAGCATTCGTTTCCCGTCCTGCCACGAACAGCGAGAAGAAGAATAGGAGCAGTGTGTAGAGCCATCCACCATCGTTGATCTTGAACGTGGGCGAGAAGAAGTAGGTAGACATTGCTGTGAAGGTAGTATTTTGTGTGCCTTAGTGCGCCTTAGTTGGAATGTTTGGTCTCTCGGAACCGGCCAGCGTTCTTGGATGGTTTTGTTTATTAAAGGAGGGTGAGGTTGATGAGGTTGCTTGAGTCGACGGGCCCTCGTATATGTACATAGATACATACTCTACAACCCCCTCGTTCGCATTGACCCCCAGAGCTCTGACCTCCTCATAGGCACGGGACGGGAACATCCCTCGAAACTACCATTGGAGGGTAGATCATGATACAAATCCTGAAACTTGATGTCGACCCCGGAATTTTAACGGCGGAAATGACTTCGAATAAATGGAGCTTAGTCACATGTATACACCTATGTACCTGAATTTACTGAGAGAACTGCGATAACTTGATGAACCAAATATAGGCAAGAGATTAATATCACTACAGTTGCCCCCAGGTTGATCGAACAGAGGCCTGTAATATATATGGTCAGAGGGCGAGAAGATAAAATTTGGACAACTAGGAATCAGCGGTAAAGATTTGTTTGGCAGATTCTTTCTCAATAAAAGAAGGATAAGTTTTATTAACTGTGTGTTGCCTCATGTGCACTCTGTGAATGACTGTAGTCAAGTAATAGTTAGTCTCTTCCGGCGTGCGCATTTACGCTCAGATACTGAGTGATGAATAATCGAATCACAAAAGATCACTCATCCCTCCTCAAAGGTCAATAATCAGCATTCTTGAACCTTTAGCCAATCATATTTTTTTACTTACTTGACCTTTTTTGTATTTACTTAACTTATGTTATACAGTGCCTGATCATTGACTGTGCTCTAGCTTTACATATACTTTATATTCTACGTACAAGTATGCATGTACTTACCGATTCACTAAAATATAATACTCCCCACATTGACCATGATGATTCTTACCCACTTATCTTTCGACGGCCGTCATGACTGGATGGCTATACATAACACATTTCTTCATGCTGGGAATCCTTTTACTCCATGCTATTAAGATAAGGCCGCCCGCTGCAACCTTACCACATTGAGATAAATCCCGATGTGATGAGAACTGCTGTAGTATATATATAGCTAGCCTTCCTTGCTGTGGCATAAAACAATAACAGGAGTCAAACAAACTAGGTAGTGAGTCTAGAACTACAAAAAAGCAATCATTTTTGTACGTCCTACTGCGTAATATAATGTCTTGGTCAATCACGCCACATAATGAGTCAACCAATGAATCAACCAATCAATCGATCCTAGTACACGCAACCTTTATTTCCCTTATCACCCTATTTTGAGATTTTATTCTGGTGTCACAATCGGAAGGTTGCGTACACGCAAAGAATGAATCAATCAATCAAATAAACCTTGGAACACTGGATCAGAAGTGCGAGTGATATATTATGATACTGTATTTACTCAGCTACGTATACAGTATACTCGAACGGGAAACTTCATATTCCTCCACAAAGGGATGAACCAGTCTGTTTAGAAATGTCCATATTACAGCCTATCATCAACCGCAGTGTGATTAGCTGCGTGTGCCTATCCCCCTCATCCTTGTGTCGGTGCCAATGATTCGGCAACCGGAGACCCCCAGCTCACAAGCCATAGTAACTATTACCGAATTCGGAATCATTATTAACGTGTTACACGAAAAAGGGCTAGTAGTTTCTGTACTACTAAATATATTGCAAAAATGTGGAGATGAATCAGAAGAGATCATTGGTGCAGAATTAATAGTAAATAACAGATTGAGAAGGCTTTCATTGCTTAAAACAAACTTGCTCCGCTCCCATTTTTGGTATCAATAATAATACATAGGTAAGAAAATAAAGCCCACATAATGATGAAATGATAACCCAATCCCCGCTTCAAACACCCAAAATAAAAGTCAAAAGTCCGCAAATCCACTCAGTCGACCCAAAATCAGAAGTGAAATATGAAATAAACAGAGTAAACAGAATAAAACAAAACACCCAAAACTCCGTTTCACCGCTCCCCGCTAATCGTTAGTGCTCGAAATGCTTCCAAATTCAACACATCCTTCAACGGCTTTGACCCCTTTCTTCCCTTCACAACTTGACCCTTGCTTGGGGTTCGATAACCGGCCTCCCTCACTTCCCTCGGAATTTGCCCCTTGCTTGGACTCCTATTGCCAGCCTCCCGTTTCAGCTGCATTAATTCCCGTCTCAATCTTTCGTTCTCATCTTCAAGCTCTTCTATTCTTAGGTATACAGATCGTGGGGCGTCTTCATGAACTATCACTCGTCGTTAGAATCCTCGGGGAAATGTCTTATTTGCTTCATTTGTAGAGCATAGTACATACCTTGGATTCCCCGTTTCATAATCTCAATTTTTCCATCAACATAACCTTCTCTCCATTCTTCCTCTACCCTCAGTCTATCCAGCATACTCCGCCGTACTTCTTCTAATCTTAACTCCATATCATCTGCCACTTCCTCGCGTACAGACTGCTCAATGAACAAACATTTGTTTTCCAACGCCTCACAACGTTCCTCGGCAAGTTGCAATCGAGATTCGGTTTCATGGAGTTTCGAGAGAAGACGTGCTATTATTGTGTCCTTGCTTGGTTCTTCAGGTGCAGCGCTGAGGGGAGGTATAGTGAGATCAGTGGCAATGGCGAGAGAAGAAATACTTCCAGCAAGAGCATCGACAGCCGACTCTGAGCATGAGGACACGGACGAGCATATTGAGAGGGAGCGACTTATTCGTGGTGCAGAGACTTCTCGGGCAAGAGCTGAGTATCTGAGGATTTGGGAGGTGGCACTGAAATCGCCCATTGCGTCTGCAGTCACAATCATACATGCGCCTTGTCCACCTCCTGCACCAGAAAACGAGTTGCTGAATAACAATTCTGTCAGTTTTGATTGCCGCCATGGAACGATGCTTGGCTTGCCGTTATCGGAACCTTCATTTTGGAGCTGGAGACATTGACCAAGACACATGAGGCTACGATTTATGCTTCCTGCTTCTGCGGTGCGTGAACGTTCCGAGCCGGCAAGATCGACAATGCATAAGTTTGCACTTCCTCTTTCTGTATTTCGCGATGAGAATCTCTTGATTTCGATTTGCAAGAAGGCGTGGCTTCGAGAACTTGGATTATTGGTATGAGTAGTTGATACAGTTCTGTTGGCTTGACCATGTTCAATTATCTGTAAAGCCTCGGCATAACTCGCTGCATAGACCTTCCGTAAGCCCGAAACAACCTTTTTCTGCTCTTTCGATGTATCCCACGCTGATATTGTAGAAGGCTTTTTGAATATTAGAGCCTTTCGCTTGGGAGTTGAAGATGAAGATGAGGATTCGATTAAGAGATCAAATATTCGGTCGTTATAGAGTTCATACATGCTTATAAGAATACCATAACGCGATGTACTGTCTGGTAGTGGGATGTTTATACCAGACACGGAAGGGATATTGGGAGTTGTTATATGAGCGAAAGACGATCGTTTTGAAGAGTAGCCATCCTAATCGGTGTTAAATTGTGAAAAGACAACGCTATGTGATATGGGAATGAATTTGGAAAGGATCTGGCTTACTAGGGAACTTTGCATCCTCTCGTGGAATGTGGGTGTGTCGAGAACTAGGGCCTCGGAATTATCGAGAGTTTGGAGATCGACTTTGTTAAAATCAACCACGCGGTGGCCAAAGGCATTGAATAGAACTTCAAGAGCCATTTGGGTCATTCCTTTGACTCTATCATTGCCAAGTATCGTGTATGTCTGAAGATATATGTTTAGCAGTAATCTCGCAAATAATTAAACGCCATTGCTTTTTTAGGGTCATAAACAAACCTTCCCACTCCCAGTAACACCTAACGTCGTTAACGTCCCATCCTGTCCTCCTATTACCGCGCCCTCCAATAGAGGCAGTAATGTCTCCTCGAATATATCTCGCTGCTCACTTGTTTCTTCAAATATCCTTGTAAACGCGAATTTCTCGGTCGCTTTATGCCGGCTCCGATCTGCCGGCGGCGTAACGTAGATACATGATTGGCCAGGCGCAGTATTCAAGAAACGAGTTTCTGATAGTGAGAATCGTGGTGATGATGGTCGTAATCGAAGGAATACTTTAAACAAAGGGTCGTTTATTGAATTTGATATTGGTTGGGGAGATCTGGGTGAAGAATCCATCTGATGTATGTATGTAGCGGTGGGCTAGCTACAATAGTATGTAAGTAAGGGGTGGTTCGGTATGTGTAGTTGGCTGCCGCACTGTAGCTACGTACTGACTGGGTTAGAAATTTCGTGTTATTCTCTCTTCCCTCGCTCACACTGTCTTCAGATACTAGAAGGTCAGATCGTATCTTGTCCCTTTTAATGTCCCTGAAGCTCCAACCAAGGTGAGACGTTGCGTCGTTCCGTCGGTTGATGCGCCGAGACAAACACAAACATCATGACGCGCAAGGATCGTTACTATGGCAACTATCCCCACATGCACAGGGCAGCGACAGGGCGAAACAAAGTCATTTGAGACATCAAGGAACAAGTTTGATTGCTCTGACAGGGGTCTGAGGGAGCCTCTAGATTGCCAGCACATCATTTATGTAGGGATGTGCTATGTAAACAAGGAACAAAAACGTGGGGATAATTGGTGGGATCAAATGGGTGGTGGCTATGTAGAAACTCCATTAATTTATTTGACAAAGCATTTATGCACTTCTACGCAACAGGATGCTGAGTGATCTCTTGTGATTTGGACCAATGAGTGTAACTCTTTATAACGAAAGCACTGGGGAGCAGTACCTATGGCCAGTATGGTAGCGCCATAAATATGTACATACATGTAGATTATTTTGTAATGAAGTTTTACAGGTACGCTTTCACGTGCCTATATTCAACAAAATGATGAGTGATCTATCATGATTCAAAACATTTTGAGATCCTCTATCACTCCGTTCTCAGGCTTCCTAACCCCATTCTCCTTTTTCTTTTTTCTGTTAGGATGTAATTTGCCACTTATTTACTCTGGAGCCCACTTTTGCATATGCAAACTGAGTATGATAACTAAGATAGTAGAAATATCCTTATCTATGATAGGTTCGGGTTTAAAGTAACCTACTTGTAGACTTATGTAGGGTCTCTGTAATCTTTGTGACTCCTTAGCTATTTTGCTCTCGTCGCAGGATTTAGAATACATGTATGTATCATGTAGTGATCGATGTGTAAGCTAACCTGACATACCTTCTGCGATTCAAGGGGCCAGTACGAAATAAATGACGACCAAAAGCCTGCTTAAAGAAAGAAAAAAAAAGAAAAAAAATGTAGATACCCATTTATCTAGTCCCAGAGTCCGCTAAATTGAACCGGCAAGCAGCCCGCTGAAAGAAATGGAGGCAGCGAGCCCTCACAAAGAAAGGAAGAGCGGAAGCTACAGGATTAATTAAGTGAGACTCCAGTAGACGCACCCTCAGCACACTCTCTTATACGGCAAAGGGTAGCTGGTTTTAATTTCATGTATTAAATCCCCTTTGCTTCTGGGCCTTCCTCAATGTCCCTTGTATCCAAGTTTAAGTCTTCTTATAGCTCGCCAGATACTCTCGACTGGATGGTGAAACACACACCCAAGGTATATCCTTTCTTTCTTTCTTTTAAGATATCTCTTCACTAGCTCTGCTCTATGCGGCCCGCTTTTATCCTGATACGACGTAAAAATAACACCTCCCGCCCTCTTCAATGCGGCTCCCAAAAGATAGCAAATGTGGTTATAAACCTCCTTGAAACCTTTCCAGCTATGTTCTTTCCATCTCTATCTTTCTTGTTAATACACTCCTATAGATCATGATCGTTGCATAGCTTTGATGTCACCTCAATAAGCAACCAGGGCTTGATATTTGGCCTTTTGGCTAGCCTTGGTGGGGAGAGTCTCAAAACAAAAAATACAAAATAAATTCTTCTGGGAGGGTTTGAACCTCCACGTCCCTGGTTTTTCATAGCCTAGGTCAATTGGTTGGATTTATCTGAGCCCACATGCTAGAACAGGATCTATTAGTACGTCTGTAGAATGTTCATATGAGATTAACCCAGGAAGTTTCTGGTGGCATCTTCTGTATGTGTGGAGTTAGTTCTTTGTCGGCACTCAGGTAACATCCATGGTCTTACTAGTCCTTGCCCGTCCATCTACTTCACTCGATAGAAGGTGAAATGCCTGATTTGAGGGTAAGCAATCCATCCTCGAAATTCGAGCGGTGCAGAAATAAAGCCTTTGAGGTGTTAATAAAACGTGCTAGGAATAGTATTTTTCTGTAAGCTTTTGTGAGTGAGAATGTTGTGTCGCCTAGGCCTGTTGAGGACACACATTGCGCTCGAGATGGACAGGTCTCTATCATTAGGAAGGATCCTAAAGAATGGGATCAGGATGGAACTAGATATGAAGAGCTAACAGTGTTGTTCTAGCACCGGCTAGATCTGCAGAGACCACACCCCACTCACTGGTGTATCCAGGACACGGGTACATGTATGTGCGTGTGCGTGTGTATGGGATACATGTATGTTGTCTTCCACAGTAGTCACAATTTAACTTTATGAGGGCACAAAACCCACCCCACAAATAACTCTAAAATCGAGATTATTAAATAGATCTCTATAGTGTCAACGCTTCCCTTCCCTTAAAAACTACAAAAATATTTTAGAACTTCAATTCCTAAAACCATTAAGAATTCTCTGTCCAATTATTGCCTTGAAATTTAATATCAAGAAGCTTATCATCAGGTATATATAACCCCAACTACTAAAATCTCTCTAAGTAGGCCGAATCAGTAGAAATTTCCTACATGTAGTTAAATATTCTCCACTCTGAATCAACTAATCGTACGGAATTAGCAGTAGATAAAATAGAGATAAATGGATTTGCTTAACCTACATGGAGTTCAACCAGGACCCGATTCGGACAGCATAAACGGTAGTCTAAACAAGACCTATACGGACACAGATTCAACTCAATTTCCCTCAGATTTTACTGGACCTCTTTTCGACCTACTAAATATAGGATTAGGAGTTTTGGTACTTAAATCCCGTTTTTTCGACGATGATATGGCTACAGATGATTTTACTGGACAAACCATTATCCCAGGGACCTTCATTAGGGAAGATGTGAAATTATTCCAAGTTATCACTCCAGGTACCTATCATATAGGATTACTGGGTATAACCAAATTGAATGACCATGCAATCCCTAATATCCCTGAGGTGGAAGAAGGCACAAAAATAAAGCCAAACTCCGTCGATGAGACCCAAGAGTGTGGGGAAAGCGATGTCCCTCCGAAAGAATGTGTAGGAGCTAATTCGGACTCGGACGACGAAATTCAGGAACATGGGAAAAGTGAGGACTGGTGGAAGGAATCTAGATGGATGAAAGTCCGAGCGATCCCGGAAGCTCGGGGAAAACCACCATTCGAATGGAGAGACCTGAGAAAGAACTGGCGACGTTTTGCTGCTCTGACAGCTCGAGATAGATCGTTGAGATTTAACACGCCACGTCTAAGATCTACTAGGCGCGCAGTGTTTGGCGAACAGATGGGGGTTAGAGGGGTGAAACACAGACGGGATATGGGGATTGATTATGGGAAGAAAGAGAAAATGATTCTTCCCCCAATCGGTACCCGCCTTTCACGCAAGAAGAATAAGCTACCTCCTGTCTTCCGAGGCGTGCCCAAGGTCTTTTATGACTGGTCGCGCAGGCCTGGAGTGAGAAAGTGGGAAAAATTATCAGACGCACCCAAGGAGTTCTATGATTGGTCAAAAAGGATGGAAGAGGAGAAGCAAGACCATGCCCTTGCAGAGCTGTCAGATTTCGAACGATTTGTTGCCCGGAGTGCTCAGCGTGAGCCTAGGTCAGACTTTGAATCGTTTCTTAAATCCAAGGGCGCGGAAATCCATGAAAGCAGGGATATCGGTCGGTATAAGTATAAGGATCTTGAACGGGACATCGATCCGGATGTGTCGGGGTTCGGTGGTTATGATGAGATGTCTATCAGCACTAGTGGTGATGAGTCGGAGGATGAAGATGAGAATAGTGATTCTACTTTCGATGAATCGGAGGATGAATACGCGAATGATGATTTGGTTGCAATGGCCTGGGAAGGGCAGGAAATTTAGTCAGGTAGGGCGAGAATAAGACGAGTACGTCAAAAGCTTGATATATGCTACTTCTTTAATGGCTTGTGGCTAAAGCATGATGCGACTTAAGGGCATTACTGTTAAGTTAACTGGAGGATCGGATAAACTAGACCCACTTATGTAAACTTATTTCGTGGCTATGAATCATGAAATATCACTCGCTATGGAGGACAGCAACACGTCATCCTTCTATAATTCCGTCACTTGGGCATTTTCTCTTAAATCACTCCAAATTATCGCGAGCCCCCAGTGCATTGGTCGAAGTGAAATAAACCTTGCTATGGCATCAACCCCTCACGTCGTCCAACCTCCTCCCCTCCCCCTCCCAATATATTTAGTAGCTGATCTAAGATACGTAATGAACATATCATATAAGTGGTAGCGCTCTCCCAGAGGATTCATAGAGAAGCTATCAGAACCCCAATTATGTACTATCACGGTCATGGAGCTCGATTAGTCCATAGTCAATGCCTTTGCTGGAAATCATAAGCGGGGACTGAATTTCTGAGCCGGGCTTGGGCGGGCAAACAATTGAGCTGGCTCAGCTCTCCCGAAGAAAA